GACTCGGATGAGTATCTCCTCGTGAGAACTCGCGCATATCGTTCTGTCCATATTAGTATCGTAAAGTAGGGTCAAGCAGCAGCAGAACTATCCATATACCAACCTATACATAGTGCATATACAATATTCGTATACATTTCAATATTTACAATAAATATAATAACTTGTTAACGGAAACACAAAGCACAAAAGCAGTCTTTAGCTCTCCTCCCGGTGCGTCTAGTGCTGGCCCAGGCTATCCTGTCACACCCACGAGCCAATTAGGATGCGGGAATGCGACGCTCAACACGGATTGATTGGCACCGAGCCTCGAGGCTCGGTCATGGCACATGGACTGGCCTCCCACAGCTAGCGAAGAATGCTGTCCCGACTTGGACTTGGGCTTGGGCCTAGACACTGTCAGCAGTCATTGTACAACCATCATGCATAATGCTATGCCTATGCCTATGCCCACTGCATGCAAATGCGCCACAGCGCTCGCATTTTCATTTGCATACGAATGCGCTGCGACTTGAAAATGATTATTTCTGAGGAATGTTGCCAGTGGACAGGTATGCAGGCGTCTAAAAGTAGCAGAGACCCGGGCCTGCCAGCGGCCCAGCACAAAGAAACCGTCGAAGCAGGAAAGCTAAGCTACAGCAACATACAGCGTCCCAAGGAGTTTTGAGAGTTACATACGTGTGAGGCTGGATGGGATGGGATGGGGTGGGGTGGGAGAATTTAGCTCAGGCTGTCCAACCGACTGTCCGATTTCACTTCCAGTTTCACTGTCGACCCCGAAGGGCTGGCCGAAGTTTTCACAATGTGAATGGGATGGTAGGGGGAGGGTTGAGGGAACAAGAGATTTGTTTACTTCGGGCAGAGGTGAAACTTGTGCTCCTCCATAATGGTCGCACCCGAGCACGAGCTGAGCTCCACAAGCGGCATTACCTAATGTCAGCAGGTGCGGGACTTACTGCGGGTATGTAATGTGAATTTCAGAAGACAATCACGTAAATCAAAATCTACAGATCGGAGAAGGGAGTTGCTGTGCTGTGTCTGCTCTCTGCTTTGGCGGTGTCTGTGCAATTTATGGGTCTGGTCTGTCTCCGTTCACGCATTGCGCAATACACACACGGGCATATCTTCGACCAAGAAACGCATATGCCATATCGCTTGCCGCTCCGAGTCTTGCCGTCGCCCAGGGTACGGGTACGCGCCTGGTCACTTCTCTCTGTGTGTCAGCGGCACACAGGCTTTATGGAAATTCCACATTTTATGAAACGAGAAAATGCAGCATTCCGTTTCCAGTTTTACTGGTAGCCACTGGTAGCCAACATGGCCAGCTGGTCAAGCAGGCAAATTGCCAACCCAAACGCAGGCCGCTAACATTTCCCACCAAAATCCAAATCCAGTCCAAAATCCATGGAACCATGGAAATCCATCCATGTTGAACCCGAATGAGCTTTAAGGACAAAAAAGGATGCTGCTCAGCTTGGCCACTGACATGAAGTAATAACAGCCAGACCCTTCATTCTTCTCACAATTAATCAGGTAATTGGTCTCCGCTTATCTGTTTTCGATGTGGGGCTAAATCTGCAAAGAAAGTTTTGAGACATGCACTTTGGGCGTCTCTCACGTATTCTACAAACTACCAGTACTGAGTACTCAGTACGACAGTTCTTCGAAGAGGAGCTAGAGAACACCTGCAACTCTACGAGTTCGAGTACGAGTACGAGTATGTCCAAAAAATTGACCCTCCCGCGGCCATTGCAAATACATTGAGTGCGTCCCAAAAGCCGTTTGTACGTTTGAGAGGGTCTAGTGGATTTCGTCTCGCTTCTGGTGCTCTCTGAGCAAGCCCCGCTGTGTCCGCTTCTTGGGCTTTTACAGTCTCAACTCAGATCCAACTCTTCGCCTGGTTGTCGACTATCCATTGCCAACTTACTCGTATCTGCTTGTGTTGTGTGTGTGTGTGTGTGTGTGTGTGTGGAATGGAGTGGAAGTTGGAAGTCGCCTAGACTGCAGCAAGCAGTGGGCTTGGGCTTGGATTGCGGTTTGTTTATTGATCAACCCGTAGATACTTTTCTGTATAGCTGTTAATTTGGTCTTTTGTGCAGACCTGTGTGCGTGTTTCTCTCTATGTGTAGAGACGAACTGTTCGATTGAATCTGTGGAATGCGGACAATCCGGTCGCCGAGTGGAATTCTTTACACAGTCACATATCGAAACTGTTCGGCGTGGCCGATAAGCAGGGGGTACAGGGACGGGCACGGGGACCAGCACTTGACACTCCAATCTTGACCAACGGAGACTGGATTAGCTTGGACTAGGCGGCTTACATTCGATCGCACCTCTTCTCAATGGAAACAGTCAACCAGTCATGTCATGACAATATTTTTCTGCTCCAAAACATGATTCCACACTTTGGTTCATAGCCAGTGGATTGCGGCTTGCTTTACATTAATTAAATCATTTTGGGTATCTCAAATTTATTTAAAAAAATTTAAGTGCATTATTTCTTGTTGAGATTGAGCAAAGATATTCTTTTGTACTGAATATGCAAATTTGTTGTAATATTTGACCTAGTTAGTTTCTCGCACTGTTCGTACACATACTTAATTTAAGGTCGATTGGACAAAGCATACTTTTTCCCACTTTCGTCGACAGATACTATTTCCAAATTGTGGAAGTTATGGTTAATAGCGTGTTCGCAGCGTAAAAAACTAACTTTAATTAATAGCAGGAGAGTAAGAACAACTCATCCCATCAAGATCAGAAGCAGAAGGCAACAATAACACAATCAAAGCCACTTGCGCTGTCCACCCAGTCCAGACAGCAGCAGCGACAACAGCCAGCTCCACAGCTCTGCAGAGGCGTCGGACAGAAAGACAATGCACGCTCTAATTTCACAGGGAGCTGAGACTACCCCCGCTGAGTAGGATATTTTTTATTCGGAATCTCCAAACAATTTGCTACAAATATTAATTTAATTTTTCCTTCAGGTCTTGGCTAGTGGGTCCATGGGCATTTCAGCGTACAGGGCCATCAGACAAGCAACGCACAAGGAGAAGGTTAGCCCGGCGCTCTGGACGCCAGATAGAGAGACGCAATGCCGCCACCAGCAGATGTCGGTGAAGGAGATGGACCTATTGCCCTAGATCTTATCGAACGCTTCCTGCTTTATCGGCGATATCCTTCGCAGGAACGATCATGGTAGTAATGTAAAACGGAACTGAAAAATCGTTTGCCTAAAAGTATGCAGCAGCTCATTTGTGAGACACTGAGAAAATTGTTTCTTCTTCTTTTTTCCTATTAGAAATTTCATGTAGCACTCATGTCCGCGACGGCCACTTCTTGAACTAACGCCTACCCTACAATTCTCGCTGCTATGAAATTTCAAGTTGTTATTTTTTCTCATTCTTTAGAAAATATTAATATTTATTATTGATTATAATCAGTAGGTTATTTTGTTGAGAGGTTAAAGCCACTAACATTAAACATTATCATTAAAAATGATGGAAAACTTCAATAAAATTCTATCGAAACAATTCAACCATCCTGTGAAAAGTCCTGCAAGATTTTTTTATTCATAAATTTTGTTGATACTGCGCTGTAGATGCCGATACTCCGATGTAGATACTCCGCCGCAAAATGGCATCGGGTGCAAGATTGTCTTGGCAAAGAGACAAATTACTCAAAACTATCAAAAGACACGCAACGCCAATGCTCCCATAGATGTACTTAGCAGCTAACTAGCATTCAATATATTATATAATAATATATAATTATAATTGCATTATTTAATTACTAGTTTCATTATTCTAGCAGATCTAGCTAAAATAAAAAAGGTTTGGTCGCAACGTTTGTATGATTTTATATTAATATGTATGATTTCTTTTTAAAAGCTAAATAGCTTTTAAACCAAAAAATAAAATGTATAATGTAGTCCCTAATCAAATATTTACCATAATAAGAACAATTTTATGGGCTCTTTGAAAACTGGAAACAATTTTTGTAAATTGTTACTTTTGGCTCTTCCGTCGCAGAAGGCTGCCATATAGATTTCAATATTTTTTCTCATAAGCCAAGGACAATTTAGTTATCTAATGATTTATTTAAGGCTCATGTATCAAGGATCACCTGGTATGGCTTGCAGTTTTAGAGCTTCAGAACTTACCTACGTACTACTAGTAGTAGTAGTAGTATTTTATTTTAATTTGTATTAAGGATAAATATAAATAATTAAATTAAATTTAAAATTAAATAATTAAATCGAACTATTCTGTTGGCGTGGCTACGTACTACTACAATAAGTATACTTTTAAATCCACATTTGTATATATGTATGTATATGTACAATGTACATATTAAATAACTTTGTTCTATGTTGCTATTGACAGTGGCAGGAAAATAAAAATCCAGTTTCCTATGCATAATAAACTATTCAAAATGCACATATGTATGTACATATATAGATTTGAAGAAGTGTGAATTTCTTTAACATATAATTTTCGACTGGTAAGGACAAAAAGTGTAGCACTTGTATGATTATTTTATTTACTTATTTTTCATGTATTATTTCGTGATGATGCAAACCTGGATAGCTACCACAGGAACTATCGTAATGACGGGAATGACTTTGGTGAAGGCGCATATAGTACTTTGTTTGGCTTCTTTGAGGCTCTAATATTTACACTTCTAAATAAAAATGTTTGCATAAATGTAAGTCGACGTCTGCACGTTTTAGACTTCGTCGAATTGACGTGTTCCTTCAGGACAGCAGCATTCTGTGCTTGGATGCTGATTTAATCAATCACGTCAATCATATGTCAAGCCCGCACAAGGCTAATTCGATTGAGCCGTACTCGTACTGTGGACTGTACTTCTGCGGCCAGCATGGCTGCGGAATATTAAAAACAGGAAGGGAGGAATTATCTGGGGGGATTCCGGATAAGTCCAGACGACAGATTTTCTATAAAAAGAAGATGTTTCTGGTGCAGTCAACCAGTCTTGTAAGGGCGAAGACGAGAATGGGACACAAGAGCTGCGTGCATTTGGCCACCTTGGCGATGCCATTCTGGGCCTTAACATTTTATCTTCTGGTGGTTGTGCCCGTACCGTCCCAGACAGCCACAGCCAGCTTGGAGGTCGGAAAGGAGGAACGGCGACTGCAAGATCTCGAGCCCAAGCAGGGAGCAGACGCGCTAAATACGGACGGACTCTCGTTGGCACGCTTCGGCAGCAGACGCCACCAGAGATCCATTGGGTTCGGGCACAGAGTTCCGTTAATCTCCCGGCCAGTAGTACCCATCGAACTTGACTTGCTGATGGACAACGAGGACGATCGGACGATGTCAAAGCGCTTTGATGACTATGGGCACATGCGGTTCGGAAAGCGGGGCGGCGACGACCAGTTCGATGATTACGGACACATGCGCTTCGGTCGGTAAACGCAACTGAAACTTTTGGCTATGGATCAGAGGTCCCTGAGTTGTCTGCTTCTGTAAATATTACCTTAAATTATTATATGTCCAATACCACAGTAACTATAGTAAACATAATATACAAGTAATAAATATGCGCATTCCCAAAATGGACTACTCACCCACAGTTTTAATTTATTTTTTGGTAAAATGGTAACAGCAGATCGCATTACAAAATAAATAATAAGTTAAGGTACATCATGATGCCGCTAGAAACTGACCGTCCCCCAGATCGCATCATAACTAATGACTAGAGAAATGACAGAGGAACAGATAAAAGAGTCGGCTGTGTTGATGCTTATTTGGGTTTCACTAAGCTCTGAAGAATATACGGTATATTCCCTTTGAAGTGATATAACAATCTACAAAGAAACATCGGAAACGAAAAACGTGCTTACATATCTTACAGCATCCTCGTATCTTATTACGTTGATGATCTTATCTTATTATTCATGTAACTTGTACAATATATTCCTGCACCCCATCCGGCCGTTATATTTTCTCACTCGAACGGCGGCGAAAGGAGGAGTCAGCCTCTTTTCAGAGTCTGCTCTTCTTTTTGTCACATAACTTATGTAAGTATCTTACATTTGGTTCTAATGAACTTTGCCATTCAGAAAAGCTTATTGTTGCAGCTATAAATAAGACCTCAAAAATGTTTGATTTCAGCTTACCGTTTGGGAAATATTATGTTTTCAAATGCAACGAGAAGGAACGTGTGAGTCGCTTCTAGGGACGCGACTCTACCCGTACTTTACGCGTCTACCCTATACCTTTTTTGTATTAATATAAAATGCTTATAAAAACATTTTATATTTTGAAATACAAAAAAATTTTTTTTTTTTTAATTTATTTTGAAAAGTTTTTAAGTTAAAAAATAAAAGTTAAAAAATTCTGCCAGATTGGCAGAATTGACCACTGTGCGATACTGCGTTTTTTGTTTTCTCGTATCTTCAAAATTGTGGATGCCACAGATTTTTGTCCTTTGTGACGGCGGAAGGGGGCGGGGCATAATTTTGAAAAAAACTTGATTCCTCTAGCTTTTATAGTCTCTGAGAAATAGGCGTCAAACCAGACGGACGGACGGACAGACGGACATGGTTAATATCGACTCGGCTATTGAATATATTTATTTTATGAGGTCGGAAACGTTTCCTTCTCTGCGTTACGCACATCCACTTTTACCACAAATCCAATATACTCTTTTGAGTACGGGTATAAAAATAATGATATTTGTGTAGTATTTTGTACGAAATTTTGACTTTAAAAACTAAGGAAAAGTCGAAAAATCCTGTGTTCTTTATTTTTTTGCGTATAGGTAATTCACCAAATGAATGCCATTTGGCGTCGTGTAAGGTATTGCTCATTAAAATCTATGGAGAGACGGCGAATCTAAAATTGGTTGACCAACCCTCCGAAAATCATATTTTACCATTTTTACTGTTGCTGGCTCACCAAGCCAGTATCAAAATTTGAATTACATACCAAGTAAAAAAAATGTATCTTTGTGATATATAGCTATATATATATGATATATACCTATACATTCTTTGAACACTTTTATTTTGTTATGAATAGATGCCGGTAAAAAGTTCATGTCTGAAAATAAAACCATACACTACGAAATTTTTAGTTTATTTTTTGTATTATATTATTATTTATTTTAATTTATAAAAGTAGAGTCGCGTCCACACAAGCGATTGTCAACGTTCCTTCTCTTTTTTTTAGTTATTTCAATATCTTCCTTTAATAGATTCAGAAAATAAAATCGGGGCAAAAGTAAAAGGAAATTTGTTCTTATTGACTTTTCATTATTTTTGGCCTGGTGGACCTTTTATCGGAACTGCCCATATGCATATAAAAAAGGAACCTCTCTTGTTACTCAGCTTACCTGGATTAAATATTCATTGTCTGGTCCTCTGCAGATTCGTACTGCTGCACTGCGACAACTCTGCCGGCAGCTACGTGTTTTCGTTATCCCGTCAGACTCTACGTGGTAGCAATTGCAAGTATTCCCACCAATTATCGAACTGCCATCTGATATTTTCCCCACGCCCAGTCGAACTGATAAGCTCGTCGACATGGGCTGGAGACCACAAATGGCTGGCTGGAAGTGCTCAGTAATCGAAGCGAGCCCGGAGCTCGTAGAAGCGTAGAGTGCGGAGCCCCAAAAAAACCAAAGCACCAGAGATAAGATTTTAATTAAAGCCAAATAAAGAAACCCGTATAAGATGGTAATCGGCTCAATAGCTAGTTGTCCAGAATCGAATTAAATATGCTCAGGATATTGTTCCCCTTTTGCGTGGTGCTAATCGCCCTCCACACTCTGGATGCCAAAACTGTCCTCGTGGAGGAGCTTACAAAGTGGACATTGAGGAACGCAACCTCTTGTAAGTAGCTCCGTCTTTGTACGAGTATACGCGTAATTGATTGAAGTATCCCATGTCGCTGCGATTGATTCATCATGGGCGGCGCGAGTTTTGCACGGGCCTGGCCTCCCCGGGAGTGTTTGTACTTGTGATAAGATTAAAGTGCCGTCGTCTACGTTCAGTCTGTGGTAGCACCCCATTTGCGCTAATTAATTGCTTGTAAATACTGCTCTCGCTAGCTCTGATTTGCAATCCAACTCTTTGTTTACCCACCGAATCACTCTGTATTTTCAGCACTCAAGATCGACGTTGCCCGGTTGCCGAGCGGTGTGTATACGGCGCTGAAGGATACATATGGGGACCTGCTGGAAACTGAAAACAATGTGGCCCTCAGCTGGATAGCCAACCAAACGTGGACTTACAGCACCACCTTCGACAGTAAGTAAATGGTTCGCTCTTCATTCATCCGCTCTGACCATCGATCTGCAGGCGTGGAAATGGGCCAGGACAGTTTGGTGAACCTCACGCTCCACGGAGTCGATACCGTATCCAAGGTGTGGCTGAACGGAGAGCTGATCGGCGAAACGGACAACATGTTTGTCCGTTACTCGTTCGCCATCGGGCACTTTCTGCTGCCCAGTCCCAGCCAGAATACCCTGGAGATCGAGCTGCTTTCGCCCCTCCAAGAGGCCCACAGACGCGCTCAAAAATTGGAGGAAGAGGGCTCCCCCAGTGCTCCTCCCAGCTGTCCAATGGCGCTGGGCTATGTCGAGTGCCACCGGAACATGCTGCGCAAAATGCAAATGAGCTTCGGCGGCGAGTGGAACCCTGCAGCCCTTTCGTCTGGCATATGGAAGCCAGTGGCCATCGAGTACTACATGGTGGGAATCCTGCGCGACGTCGATGTGGCCATCAACCGCAATGACACGCACTGGACGATGGACTGTCGGGCCTTCATCAGCTCACCTGCATCGGAGAACTTCTACGCCCAGCTCGTGGTGTATGCCAGGTATTCAGAGCTAAATAGAAAGTTTCTGTAGGCAAATGAAATATCCATAATAATGATAATGACATTTCAGTGAGCTCTTAGACGAACCACTTGTTCTGGATCAGCAAGAGGTTAACTACGCGTCCGCCGTTCTGGAGTTCAAAATACACATTCCCCAGGTACGTTCCAGAAGATGATGATTCTTTCGGTATACCTCGGTTCTATATACTCGTATGTACCTTCATCCCAGGACCGAGTAACTCTGTGGTGGCCAAATGGCTATGGCAAGCAACGGCTCTACCCGATGCTGTTTTCAGTGAAGTGCTTCACCAGCGAACAGGGCCCCAACCTGAGCTCGCGCACGGAGTCCCAGAAGCTATTAAAGATCGGATTTCGCACCATAGAGCTGGTGGAGGACATGGACAGTGAGTAGGATTAATTTTGCCCGTCCAATGATCACCTTCATCTCTTGTGTAGGGAGCGGCAGAACCTTCTTTTTTCGTGTAAACGGCCATCCAATTTTCATGAAGGGTGCAAACTATGTGCCGTCCAATACTTTGCCAGAACTGTCCGCAGAGGCGGATACGGGTGAGTAAGTGTTTAATATTGCACAGATGCAGAAGTTTGCTAATCAAAAGTTGCAACTCACAGTGAAGCACTTGCTGAAATCGGCACACGACGTCCACATGAACATGATCCGCGTATGGGGAGGCGGTCTCTACGAGTCGGAGACGTTCTACAACTTGGCAGACTACTACGGCCTCCTGGTATGGCAGGACATGACATTCTCTAAGGCAGCTTACCCCCTAACCGACGATTTTGTGGCTTCTGTGTGCCTGGAGACAGTTCAGAACGCGCAACGGCTCTCGTACCACCCCAGTCTGGCGTTGATTGCGACGAACAACGAGATCGAGCTCTTCCTAGTGAAGAATCGTTCGGAGTTCGGAGAAAATGCAACTCGCCTTGAGAAGGACTATCAGGCTCTATTTATGGGCACTCTGAAGCACGAGCTAAGTATCATTTCCCGCAATGATTTCAATCCGCGCCCCGGCCCATTGGTCTCCACGCCATCGCTGGGTATTGAAGAGTCTGGCAAGGAGCTGGCCAAAGATCCTCAAAATCCGAATTTCGGCGACAGTAAGCCAACTCTGCTCCCAGCTATGATAATATTAATCATACATTTTTGTCCTCACCTCAGTCCACTTTTGGGAAGACGACAAGGACGGCTTCGACTCGGAAACCTACCCACACGCTCGGTTCGTATCCGAGTTCGGATATGCCAGTCTGCCCATGCTCTCCGCCTGGCAGCGAGCGTTGGGCAATAGCACAGATGTCTCCGACGCACGCATAGCCTCCCTGATCCGAAGCCATCAGCACGATCCCAAGGGCTTCATACCGATACTTAAGCTGATTGCCCTCCAATTGCCATTCGTGCTTCACAATTGGGATGAGAACATTCAGGAGTTCATATATTTCTCCCAGGTCTCCCAGGCAATGTCCGCCAAGACGGCCGTCGACCTTTTCCGCACCCTGCGCACCGAGAACCAGACAATGGGTGCCCTAATGTGGCAGTTAAATGACGTGTGGGTGGCACCCACCTGGTCGTGCATCGACTTCTATGGCAACTATAAGATGGTCTACTACTGGGCCAGGGACTTTCTGGCCCCGACGAGGGTGATTGCCCTGTACGACAAGAGCACGGATAGCCTCAACGTGACGCTCACAAGGGAGGACTACATGGAGCATGCTGATACGCGCTTATACCACGTCCAAATATACACCTATCTCTGGACAGACTTCATTGCTAAAAAGACTATAGCCCGTGCGTTCGCTCTGGTGAGTTTACCCGTAAATATAGTCAGCCATTACCTCCAGAAGTAGACCCATCAAATATACTTACGTACGTATGTCTCCAGGGTTCCAATGAGCTGGAAGCGCGCCCAATACCTCTGGACACTTTTCTATATGAAAACCACCCGAAGGAGGAAATGTTTCTGGAGATTGTCTTGGAGGATAACAACGGTGGGACAGTGGCTCGAAACTTCTTCTACCCAGTGCCTATAAAAAACGTTAAAGGCATCAAAGATCCGGAGCTAGCGGTGAGTGCGGATGCCATAATATAAACGTACTTGTATTCCCATCACGTCTCCATTTATCCCCAACAGCTGGAAGTGGTGGGTCCCGACTGCAGCACGGCCAAGCAACCGTACACCAACAGTTTCAGCCTGCGCATCACAGTGAAATATCCTGCTCTGCTTGTGTACTTGGAACTCTCCCATCCTGACTATTTTAGGGAGAGACACCAGTTCTCGACGAACGGCTTCACCCAGACGGAGCCCAGGAAAACTGTGCACCTGGAATTTGAAAACTCTTCCGAGTGCCTGAAGCTGACAAGCGAGCACATCAAAGTGCAAACGATGAATCAATATTTAATCTGAGTACAACTCGCAGCATAAATTTGTACCGACTTAAAACATTCAGATCGCTGTAGCCCAATGTAGAAACTTCTTGTCGATCGTTTTAAAAATATATTTAGTGGATGAAATCCCGACATTAGCTTCATTCTAAACTATAAACTCTTGTGTTAAAATCGAGGGGTCACGTTGAGTCGCATATATTGCCGCGACTCTTATTTTATTACCCGTACTCACTCAGATTATGATTTATATGAAATTTTTAAAGAATTTTTTTTTAGCGCTGGAAAAGCCTGGGTTAGAAAGAGAAAATTTATTTCTTTATTCTGGCTATAGTAATAATCCAGCCTACCACCTACCCTTTTTTTACGATATATCTTTTTTCGTTTTCTCGTATCTTCAAAATTTCGTCTATTGTGGGGCGGGGCGAAATTTTTAAATACACTTTTAACAGTGTTATTAACATGTGTCTGGAAACAAAATTTGGTTGCTCTAGCTCTTATAGTCTCTGAGATCTAGGAGCTCATCGAGACGGCCGGACAGACGGAAAGACCGGCAGTAGTCGTGTCGACTCGGCTATTGATGCTGATCAAGAATATATATACTTTTTGGGGTCAGAAACGTTTACTTTTGTGCGTTTCGGGTTACGGGTATAAAAACTCTTTTTTTGTACAGTATAAGGAACAGATGAATCTATTTCTTTTGAGAGCCCGTGACTGACTAGAAAATTTAAACAATATAAAACAGAAGAAATCCCATTGCATTTGAAAATCGAAGAAATCAACGAGGTTTACAATTTAGGCTTTAATCATTTTTGTTTTCATTACGTCCTTGAACCGTCCGGGCAAGAATCAATAAGAGAATAACCCTTGAACCACTTGCCAAAACTTCTGGTTGAGGGATTTTCAGTTGCTACAATGCATTTTACGGATCCTCTTGAAAGGTATATATGTATGTATAGTAATGTATGTACTCAAAAAACAAAAAATCTGAATAAACAAATGTAATCATGGCTGTACACATACATATGTAAGTACGTAAATGAGTCTATAAAAATGTTGTGTGTCCAGACAACCGATATAAAATAATATATACATGTTAACTTGATGTTTAATTTAAGTATTAAATGTACTCGTAGGCTCGTCCTTTCATTTACAAGTGATTGACGACAACGATTAATTGTGCATTTTGACATACGCATTGGGCAAATAGATAACCATATAGTACATTTGTAGATGAAAGATTACCAATGATGATACAAAAAAAATAATTAGCTTGGTGGCATTTTTAAAAAATAAATATAACAAATTTCGTTTGGGCCTGGTTCTGGTTCTGCCCCGACAATGGCAAAAGTTTTATTATTTTGCTTTTATTCTGCGCTTCTGATAATATAACAAGTCGAAACATAAGTCTTAATGGATATCCTACTAAGCTCGCAAAACAAATAGGCATCAGTTAGCAACAAAATACGAGAAGTGACAAAGCCGCAGCACTGCAATTTCGTCAGATCTCAGTCGAAGCAGCAGTCGCAGCAGAACCAATGTTTCGCCTCGGCTTTAATCGCGACTGTAGTCAGAATATTCTTTGCTTTGTTAATATATTTATACCCGACCAAAAAAGTTAGGGTTATTAGTTGTGGTAAAGTGGTGTGTGTAACGCAGGGGACGTTTCCGCCCCATAAAGAAAATATGATCAGCATCAATAGCCGGTCGTGAGCCATGCTGTCTGTCCGTCCGTCCGTCCGTCCGTCCGTCCGTCCGTCTTGTTGAGCGCCTGGATCTCAAGCTATAGTTAGGGTAACCAATTTGGTTTCCAGCTCATGTGATATCACACTGCTACAAGGTCAAACCCCCCCCCTCCGCCACCACAAGGACGAAATTGTGGCAGCCACAATTTAAAGTACGTAAACTAAAACCAGTATCGTATAGTTCCATATCTACCAGCTAGATCTGAATCAGTCGGATCATAATTATAGCCAGATGACGAAATTATTCAGTGCCCCCCCCCCCCCCGCAAACGCAACACAACTCTTTCCCCGCCCCCTGCCCGTTCAGGCGCGGCAACCCCTAGCGGGGGATGTGATCTAAATGAACTGTACAATCTCCATGTTAGTGTAGAATAGACTTGTATATGTAGATGTATCTGTAGCAAAAAAATGTAAAATGTAATTTTTTTTTAAAATAAAAAATCATAGCTGTATACTGACTAGTACGGGTTGGGTCGTGTCCCCAGAAACGACTCACACGTTCCTTCTCGTTAAAATTTGAATACCCCTCACTGATATAATAGTATTTGTGATTTGTATACAAAAAGTAAGAATTTCCCGACTCAAACACAGTCAACTAGCACTTCATATCACAACCTATGATAACAGGCTAGTGCCTACACCTTATTTCTTACTCATAGATGGGTATAGGAGATGGGTATCTCATAGTCGAGGCACCAGTCGCTGCCACTTTAGAGAGTTCGCTGCTATTCTCTCGATCTTTCGCTCTCAAGCCACACAAAGAACAGCTGATGTGTGCATAAGAGCATGACACTGAAATTAATTTCATTATCGATATGAGCTCTCTCTCGCTCTCCCACTCTCCCACTCTCACTTCCCCATGGGCCGTGGAAAGGCAGACGATCAGTCGGCTGCCAGTCGCCGGTGCCAGTGTTCGCCATTTGCAGTTGGAGTGCCATTGGGGGAGAAACTTCGCGCTTCGTGGGACTGATTCGGTTTGGCGTTGGTTGGTGTGCGTGCCGCGAGGGGCTACATACATATAGGTTTCTGATATTATTTATTGAGGAGACGCAGCTACTTTAGTCTACTTTAAAATAGCCCCCAGTAAATTAGGCCGAATACTAATTGCCTGATGAAGTGCCGGCCTGGGAGTGGGTGCCGCGACGGGGTCGCCGCCTGGAGTCTGTTGGCTGTGGGACTATGGTGTGGATTTCTTGTTCATGGCATCCAGGGCGATGCAGTGGAAGTCATCGAGCTGGGGAGCAATTGGAGTATAACTAACCAGAACGGATGTGAGTACTGCACAGCTCCCTCCAGGGTGCTTATTGGCGAAAATCGGCTTGTCTAATCGTGCGGACCTGTGATTCTAAGATAGACCCTAAATAATAAATGAAATTACTGTGTTTTGTGCGCAATCAGCTGTACTTAGAACAGATAGCTCCAGCTGTTTGTTTACAAACCATCAAAGAACCCTTATCGAGGCGCCATTTCGGTGTGTGCACGATATGCCATCGGCAGCGGAGCGGAGCCCTCAATCCAAAATTAATTTAACTTTACAGCCCTGTCCATGGCCGACCAAACACTGCCCTCCGGCATATACAGCGCCTTTGGATCCCAGGTTCTAGAGTCCTACAATGACATCAAACTACGCTGGCTGGCCTACGACAATTTTACATACACGAATAGCTTTCAGTGTAAGTCATAACGTCTCCACACACGTATGCGTACAATGATAATAGATTCCCTTTTAAATTTGCATAGTCGACATTCATCACTACAAGCGGGGGCACATAAACCTGACGTTCCATGGGATCGACACCATAGCCGAGATTCGTCTGAACCATCAGCTCCTGGGACGCACGGACAACATGTTTGTGCGCTACTCGTACGACGTCAGTGCAATCCTCCAGCAGGAGAATGTCCTCGAGGTGGAGATAGTGTCGCCCGTGTGGGCGGCCCTCGCCAGGTCGCAGGCTCTGGACGCGGAGAGTTCTGTGCCGCCGGCCTGCCCTCCCATGCGCTACAATGGCGAGTGCCACGTAAATATGCTCCGAAAGATGCAATCGAGCTTCGCCTGGGACTGGGGTCCGGCGGCTCCCTCAATGGGCCTCTGGAAGAACGTGCAGCTGGAGATCTACGAGGTGGCGGTCATACGCGACATCGACGTGGACATCAGCCGCTCCGCCAACGGCTCGCACTGGAACATGCACATCCGCTGCTACATGGATGCGGTGGGCAGGCAGAACTTCTACGCCACCCTGATCCTCTATGCAGTGTAAGCGGCCTTGGCATAATCGAATTTCAAACTGATCAGAACCTGCTTACAGCGAGCTATTGGACCATCCGGTTGTGGTCAACACATACACCTACCAGCCCATCAGCTACTTGACGCCAGTAATTGAGTTCGATCAGGCCGTGCCAATTGTGAGTATCCCCGTAATTGCGTTGCCCGGCAATTATGACTATTATGCTGGTGACTACCCCGCATACACACACATACTCGTACATCTCGGTGTCTATTTCTGTGTCAAGTGAAATTGTTGATCCGCAGGAGAAAGTCACTGCCTGGTGGCCCAATGGCTATGGTGACCAGAAGCTTTATCCGCTTCACTTCACGCTCAAAGCCTGGCTAGGGTCTAACGGGCCCGAAGTGCGCTCAAAGACCAAATCGCAAAAGTCGCTTCGCGTGGGCTTCCGCACGCTTGAATTGGTAGAGGTGCCAGCGGCAGACAAGCTCGGCAACACCTTCCTCTTCCGGGTCAACGGACTAGAAATATTCATGAAGGGCAGCAACTACATACCCTCCCACATCCTGCCGGAACATCAAACGAAGGACCAAAGTGAGTGCATATGTTTGTGTTTATTATACCTTTTTATGTTGTGATATTTTCCCAGTTGAGCATCTGCTGAAGTCCGCCAAGGAGGCGCATATGAACATGCTGCGCGTGTGGGGCGGCGGGGTGTACGAGTCGGACTATTTCTACAACCTCGCCGATAGCCTTGGCCTGCTCATCTGGCAGGATATGATGTTCGCTTGCGCCATGTACCCGGTGGAAGAGGAGTACCTGTCGTCGGTGCGCGAGGAGGTGCGCCAGAATGCCAAGCGCCTGTCGCACCACCCCAGCATTGCGATTTTTGTCACCAACAACGAGAACGAAGCCGCGCTTGTGCAGGACTGGTACCAAACAGCCTACGCGGAAGTGCGCTTTGAGTCTGAGTACCGGGAGCTCTACCTGGGCAACGTCATCCACGAGCTAAAGCTTGTCTCCCACAAGTCACGCCCTCAGCCGCTCGTTTCCTCGCCGTCGAATGGAAAGGCCAGCGCGGTGGACAATTACATTTCTGAAAACCCCCAGGACGACTACTATGGCGACGGTACGAGTGTTCTTATCTGCTTAAGGAATTTCTAAATAATTTCCTTCGCACAGTGCACTTCTACGACTACCTGAAGGACGCCTGGGATCCAGGGATCTATCCGCGCCCCCGGTTTGCCAGCGAGTACGGCTTCCAGAGCTTGCCCAGCTTATATTCCTGGCAGCGCAGCAAGAACGATGACGACGACCTCCGCACTCTGATGAACCACCGACAGCACCACCCTCTGGGCAGCATACCCATCATCAGCCTGGTGGAGCGCCATCTGCCACTGCCTCTGCCGGAGGACGACAACTATGCAGAGGCGCTCATCTACTTCAGCCAGATCTCGCAGGCCATGGCCACCAAGGTGGAGACGGAACTGTATCGCAGCTTGCGGGACACTGCTCATAACACCATGGGCGCTCTCTACTGGCAGCTGAACGATGTCTGGGTGGCGCCCTCCTGGTCCGGTATTGATTTCTATGGCAATTGGAAGGTGAGCTTGCCCCAGTACTCCACTGGCCCAGAGTCCAGAGTAGTATTTACAACCATTCTTCCAGCTTCTACACTACTGGGCGCGAGACTTTCTGGCCCCCATCGCCATCGTTGCACAGCACGACAAGCCCGAAGATTCGCTCAACATCATCCTCATATGTGATGAGCCCCAGGTGGAGACGGAGGGGCTGATCGTGGTCGCCAACACCCATCTTTGGTCGCAGCTGCTTCCGAGCAAGTCCATCAATTGGACGGTCACACTGCGGCCCAACGGCGTTCAGTATGACAAGGTCATCCCCATCCAGGATTTGCTCCATGGGGAGTACAATAGGCGCAATGCCTTCGTGGAACTGGAACTGCGTCGTCGCCAGGAGGTGCTCTCCCGCACCTACTTCTTCCCCAGCAACATTGCCGCCGCTGTCGGACTCGAGGATCCCGGCCTAGAGGTGGGTATTCCATGAGCCAATGAGCTGCTCGTCGTCTTAACTCTCCTACGATTCTGCAGTACGAGATCGCCTCGCGGACCTGTCTCACCACTGGCAACGTCATCCGGAACAGCCTGAGTATTACCATCCAGGTGAAGCGGCCCGCGGTTTTCGTATACCTCGAGCTGCTGAAGCCCTATCAGTACAGATTCTCAGAGAACGGCTTCATGCTGACCACGCCCGTGCACGTGGTGTATCTTACCTTCGATGCCACCTCCTGTGCGCGACTGCTGCGCAAAACAGACCTCAGGGTTCTGACCGTAAACGACTTCATGCCCTAGACCCACAGACCGCCGTGCGTCTTCCTTTACAGGTTTAGTATAACATTTATAGATAACTTAAACAATGAACAAATCAATAAATAGCATAAACATATATGTATGTACGTATAAGTAATATACGCGTGGGGCCATCCTGCCCGGCACACTCGTAGTCGAGCACTAAGCACCCACAACCGAAACGGGAATGGAATCCACTTCGCATCCATGCCTTCGCATGCCTTTGCTCATCTGTCGAAGCTGGGCATCTGGACGCGGGGCGGCGTGTAGCCCTCGGGATATGGCACCAATTGATTGTTTAGGACTCGCGCGTTGCGCCACGTCTTCACCTTGTCCTCAGCTGTGTCCGGCACTCGGACGCCTTCGATGAGCGTCACGGCGGGTCCGTCCACTACGCTGTGGGTGCTCTGGCCGATGGGATTGCGGTGCGGACTCCCACTATGAACTGCCCCCGGCACTGGTTGCCGCCTGCGGCTGGGCGTGGCTGTGGGCGCGGCCACGCCTGCACTTGCTGTGACGACCACGGAGTGCGGCATGTAGCTCACGAACTTCGACTTCTGCGGCAAGGCGTTGTAGTTGTGCTTGGTGATGATATTCTGGGGACGGTACCTCTGCGGCGCTGGCGATCCGTTGCTGGGATAGGAGCGCGTGTCCCTGACGTTGGTAAAGTACTGCCCTGGCTCGGAGGCAGCGTACTGCATGTCCTGCGGGAAGCTCACGACCGGCCCTTGCGCCTGACGCTGCACCCGGGGCTGGGCCTCCACCGAGTCGGCGAACATATACTGCTGCCACTGACGGTCCGCCGCGAACGAGAAGTTCCTGCGAGGACTCTGCTGCGCCGGGACATATACTGGCTGCCAGGCCACATCTGACCCTAGCTGCCGGCCTCGGCGGGAGTCGCCCTGCACTGCGTGCTGCTCCAGAATCTTGCTCTGCGCCTTCGCCAGCTGCAGCTGAATGAGCTTCGCTTGGCGTTGCTCCACCTCGGTCCTGCGCTGGCGATAGGCCTCCATCTGCTGGGCCAACTCGCTTTGCTTGAGCAGGGCCGGGCTGTGCTCGAAGGTAAGTTGGCGCCCGCTGGCATTGCTCTTCGGCTGTATTACGGGGCGCTTGACGTCCGAGCTGCGCACGAAGAAGGAGCCGGACGCCTCCTCGGCCCGAGCCTTGCGACTGTTCTTGCCGACCAGGATCTCCACATCATCGCCCTTGCTCGACTTGACGCTGACGACTCGCACCTTGGATGGGTCCAGGTTGCGACCAAAGCGCAACTCCGTCCGGATCAGGGCGGGCTTTCCGGTCACGCTTGTGCTGCCACGGCCATTGTCGTTGCTGGCGTAGCCGTGGGCCGCCACAGAAAGGCACACAGCTAAGCAGCCCATCAGAGCCACAGCACTCCATGCCGAAGAGCTTGTCCCTCTCATTTTCAGGTCAGTGCTCTGTTGAATACAAAGAAAATTATGGAAAATTAGTATTACATAATTGAGTGTGTGTTTTTTGCCAACTTATTATATCCGCCAGCCGCAAAACACAATTGTGTCTTCCACTCATATAAGTCATACATACATATGTACATACTGTGTATGTGCTCTTTTAAATAAGTATCTAAGTGCCCACAGCGAATAGTAAAGGTAAGTGTAGTCAAGTACAACATATGCCTGGCCGAACTCTGAATCAGCATCTACAATTTAAATCGGGTTAGTGTTACGACGGAGGAAAGAAAGGATTACAAGTCCAAACTGAACCGAATAGCTCCTCATCCTGATCAAGAACTGGATGGGAACATCTCAATCAATGAATTAAAAGACTGTTACAATTTAATATATATGTGAAAAAAACCATAAGTAATATTTATCAAATTTTCTTAGTCTATTATGCTGCTCTTCGTCCTTTTTGTTCTTCTAAGTATTTGGCTTCCTTATTATTTGTACTGCATTTAAAGAACTTCAGTCACGTCAATCAGCAGTGGCCTATAGCAGATGAAGCATTTCAAAAAAGAATTAAACAACAGTGCCGTGCCCCTGTAAACACCAAAGATACTCATATGCGTACGAGGGCTGTTCAATAAGTTCGTGCCGTTTTAAATATCCCGCCTCTTAATTGATATGGCATTACTTTTTCTACCAAAAGGCTGATTCTAGCTGATTCCTGTCATTTGAAGAAGCTGAGCCAGTTTGTTTGTGGTTAACAGCCATTGATGGTAAGCTGCCCTTATTTTTTTGGGGCAAAACCATGGCGAAGTGAATTAAATTTGAAAAATATGATTATTGGCAAAAGAAGGGTTTTCCAACAGGACAGTGCAAGGGTGCAGACATGGGCAGTTTCCATTGCAATAATCCATGAATTATGCTTCGAACTGCTTGAAGAGCTAAAGAAAGACTACGACTCGTATGTTGAAAAATGTAATCATTTTTTGTCCAAAAACCTGTTTTTGAACCAAAAGGTCACGGACTTATTGAACAGCCCTCGCACTATTATGAATGTCCATCGAATGTCACTTTATGACAACACAACACCCCATTAGACAGTAACTAGCTTGTTGGGTCGGTTCCCACCGATCCATCCGTCCCTGGCACTTGTACGAGTATGTGTATGTGTATGTGTATGTATCCAGCTAATGAGCCGAGCGTCATGCATGCCCCACTCTGTGGCGAAACGGGCACCTGGCCGGCGCGACGAGTGATCTCCTCCAACACCTGCTCGGATTCCGCCCCCCACTGCCGGTAGTACTCGAGTACTCGTAATTTAATTATCGACAAGAGGCGCGATTGCGGCTGTGGCCGCGACGACGGATGGTTGCACGACTGCATCGCCAGCTACGGAGCTCTTGTTGCACTTGCGTGTCTGGTGCTGGGTGCGTTGGGCTCAGAAAGCGAAACATCAATTAAAAACTGCAACTTTCGATTGCAGCTCCGGCATGAGGAAATTATTAATAGTCGTAAAGTCGCCGGCATGGGCGCTTGTCCAATGACATTTGCGACGGTGACAATAACCTTTCCTACCAAGCCGAGCATCGCGAACATTACAAATATAATTATCTAGCTTGTTGGGCAGCTTGTCCTATATTGAAAGCATGTCCTATATTGAAATTATAAAAATAATCGGATGGAGCTCTTGGAGTTTAATTTTATTTAAAATCAGAATATGTCAAATACATAAAGGTAACTACCGAAAAGTGGTAGCCTACATACCAAATAAATTCAGATTTGGCAATTAACGTACGATTATCAACATTGATCGAGCTTATTTAAAGTTGTAAACATCTAAAAAGACCCATAATTTAAGAAAAAACACAACTTTATCCTCCCCGCATGGAAGATCGATTGATCGTTGCATGAAATAACCTAACCTGACCGACGAGTGGCTCAATGTAAACTATCGGGGGTGTTTGTGTGACGAATGTGCAACGTTTATCTGCTGATTATCCAATTTTGTGATTGGGTGCAGTCCATCAATACGAGTATTACGCATTAAGCCACTAATGAGGGAAAATTTGCCGACAAAATGCGAAAAGAAACAATTAAGTAAATTGTAAATTGTAAATTGCAATTTCAATATAAACGCGCGCGGCAAAGTTCACGGCACGACAACGACTCTGATTGGGATTGGGTTTGGCAGAGGCTGGAGCTAAAGCTGAAGCTGAAGCTCTGGGTGGCTAAGTATGGGACTGTGCGCGCCGGCCCAAAACGCGACTTTCACTTTCAACTCGATGCGGCCGACTGCGCCGACTCGCGGCTGCTCCCCAGTGAACCCGCTCTGGCAGCGGCAGCGAAGTCTTTGCTTTGGCTTTTTGCTTTTCCATTTGCTTTTGTTGTTGTTACGAAACCGTCCCACTGTAACAGCAACAAAATGAAATAAAAACGAGTTTTGCTTTTTGCACTGCCGCAGCAGCACCAACATGAGTCAATGTTTGCCATTGAGCGCTTGGTCTCTTTTCCGCTCCTCTTTCTTGGGGGGGGGGGGGTGGCTTTCGCGTTGGTCAGCGTTTTTAGGCCGCTGGCCGGCAACTGCAGTGACGTCGACTTCGGCGTCGGCATCGGCATCGCTGCGCGCGCGCTTCAATGTCACGATTGTTTTTTTTTTTTTTTTTTTTTTTTTGCTTTTTCGGCAACTCTTGCTCATCGGCAGTTACGTCACTCGGTGGGCTATGAATGAGCGCCATGTGCGTAGCGTAGAGACGGCGGCAGTTAAACGTTTTCGGATCGAGTGTTGAAATGCAGACTGCAATTATAATCCGATCTGCCGCGATTTGTTTCGCTATCCGAAGAGCTTCAACTTCAGTGGGAGCTCGGCTCGCCCCCACACGTGCTTCAGTCGCCTTTCTTTCCAGCTGCCATGCCTGTTGCATATAAACTGCGGCGTGACAGGCGACGCACAACTAATAAGAAGGCGAATTTCTCGTCCGATGGGGCAACTTTGGCTCGAAATCTCTAGGTGAACTGCGACTCTTGCCTCCATTCTGTGGCAGCGCAGCGAGGGTAGAATCTGTGGCCCCAGAAGGGCAACTCTCACTTATCTGCCGACAGCCGGCGGGGCCCTTCCATTAACTTCTTCGGCCTCTTGTCAGATTGTCAATCAACTTCAACATCGCGTCTGACAACAAAGGCTGAATTGAAATTACGGTTACGCCCACAAATTGCTCTCCACTCTACTCTACCCTACCCCCTAACCGCCGCTCCAGAGCAGTGCATTGAATGCATCCAAATCAGGGGGAATTGAAGTGGGTAGGTGCTCGGTAGGTGCTGTCATTGGTAGTCGGGCCGATTCCGAAGACGTGGCCGGGCAGCAATTGAACGGTCGCTGGCTCCGCCGTTTATTGTTATCAACGATTGCTGTAATTTCTGTTGCTGCTGCTGCTGCCGCTGCCACCGCTGCTGCTGCTGCTACTATCATGTGCGAAATGCAAATGTGGCGTGGCTAATGCGGTTTATTGCTGCTGCTGCTGCTGCTGGTGCTGTCGACACTGTATTAATTTCACTTTTACTTTTCGTGATTAACATTTCCCACCCAAAAGTGAGAAACTTTACATGATTTTTTCCTGCTGTTTGCCTATCCCCACCCTCCCCCTCCTTCCCCACCATTCCCATCCACATTCGTACTGGCTGTGCCTACTCCCCACTCTCCCCTTCGGCGGCCGCTGCTGCAATGAAATGTGAAATTTCATAGATCGTAAAGTTTAGAGATGCTGTGCACTTGCTCTTGCTCTTGGCCTCTGCGTCTGCCCCTCCGGATTATGGTTTTTGCCAGCATCTTTTTTGTTTCTTTTAATTACATATGCGGTTACTCAGCACCGCACTGTGGATGATGATGATGCCCTCTGCAGCTTAGGATAGGTCCGAGCTACCCCGGGTGCCGGGTGTCGCAATTGAAAGTGAAACTCTTCTTACTTTCGGTGCGAAGTGCGAAGTGCGGCATCTGTCTTTCTATCTGCCTCAGATTTGTGGGTTTGACGTCACTCGACACTCGTCACCCGGCACAAAGCGGTGCCGCCGCCGCTGCTGTTTCCTCTTCATCTTCAGCGTAATCTTGGCCCACGCGCCGTTCAAGGAGTGAAAAGTTATCATAGCATGGATGGGGGCAATGGAGAGCCCTCGAAAGCACTCGAGAGCAACGAAATTCGAAGCGGGGATTGAGGTAGGTCGGGTTTAATCCGAAAAAGCGGGGCAACATCTTCTATAGGAAGCTCAACGGAAACAGCATCAAAGGAGTCTTCTTAATTATCTATTATCCCCATTTATAAACGAATTCCTGCTTAGGGGCGCTCCAGTGCACTCCACGGCAAATATTACGCATACGACACTTTGGCCGATGTCAACTTACATTTGTGTCTGGTCGCTTCGGATGGGGGATATTCCAATATAGTAGTGTTCACCTCTCAGAGTGGGCTCCTAGACGCTGCTGCTGCGCTGTGGGGTACGAGGGACTTGTTTCCTGGGACACGACGACGAGTCTACTGAGGTGTGCGACAGATCGCGGCGCGAACCGAAATACAACTGACGGCACATGAAAAACTTTTGCTTGCAAGTAAAAAAGCAGCGAGCTGGAAAACGACAGAAAAGTAAAAATTATTATGTATACACATGTATGTTTGGAGGCCGACAGCGACGCAGCAGCAGTAACAGCAGCAGCAGCTAAGGCTGAACCACTGATGCCAACGCCACCAACACTCTTGCCAGTACTCACACTCACGCTCACAATAGACCGGGCCGATACGATACGAGACAAGTCGAGACGAGACGAAACGAAGACAGGCTATCTCTCTAGCCAAAGCAAAATTACTCTCGAGCCCAGAAACAGAGGCGGAGAGGCGGAGATGCGGAGAAACATTGGCCGAGACTGCAAACAAAGCCGGAGTATGCCAAAATAAAAGACGCAGTCGAAGTGAGCGAGCAATTGCGCAATTGCCACAAGCCCCAAAAACGACATGGGCCTCAGCTGATCTCCAGCCCCAATGCGCCAAAGTTGTTGGTGAAGAGTGCGTGTCTTTCTCTCGGAAACACAGCCTCGCTTAGCTTTTTGGCAATTCGAAAAGAGGCTGAACGTCCTGCCACTCAAGCACAACATGTTCACTGCACCTGGCCGATCCCTCAAATAGTAGGTTTCCTTTAAAGCAAATTGAGTGAGCTGCGCTCTACAATTGCCTGTGTACTCTCCACTTGCTCCGATCTCATGGTCCATCAGCCATCAAAGAACATCGTTATTCCCCACCGACCATTTGTGTCTTCTTAGCTGATCATCATGATTACATCCAATTAGAATATGCAACAAAGCTATCACTCTTTAGCTTGAAGCAGGCAGAGGGTACGTACTCCTCTTAATGACTTGGACAAGAAACCAAAAGCAGTCCCCCGGGCCATCTGCCGCGATCTTAGAGACAAAGATTAAGCAAAAACGAATTAATGTTCAAAGATGCAGAAAGAAAGTACAAATTTAAGTTGCGTGGGGCCGAAATAGCCAAAGGCTACTAGGGAAACACCACGGAATGGATGTCAATTAATCAAAGTTAATATAACATTAAACTATCACGCACCAAATATAGGGCAGAATTTTCACAGTCCAGTTGTCTGTCCCACACAGACCATCTATGATCATATATAAATGGCAGATCATCAATTTATCAGACGTATTAATTAGTATTAATAAAATATGTTGGACTAATCTGTAATAATTTATTCTACTCGAAGCTTACTGAACTCGTTTTTCATGGTCTATTCGGTATGTCGTAGGGACACCCTACGGATCTACCACAACAATTTAGGGGGTCGAAAGTCTGCGTCTCCGTCTGGGCCAGCCCTAGCCTCGCCTCTCCTCCATTCGGAGCATAAGTAGTCAGGCAGAAGATGCCTCAGATGAGTGCGCCGATAGCGACCAGAAAAATAATTGCCATGTGCGCGCTCGTTAACGAAAGTGGCCAGAAGTAGGTGTGTTGTACGAGTAAGAGTAAGTATATACTATATTGTAAGTATATTTTACACTCTCATGCAGAGCAGAAGCCTGGGTGCACAGTGTGTGTGTGTGTGTGTGTGTGCCATGGCTGAGATACAAATCTGAGGCAGTCGCATCATCGCTCACACAAAACCGAAGTAAGGCTCGAGTTTTATTGGCAATTTTCACAATTTTCATAGCGCTCAGTTCGTCAGCGCTGGTGAGGTTGGGGCTCGGAATAAAAAGCTTTTTAATTAACAGAAATTTCACTTTTTCACTTAACGTGTAATACTCGTAGAATGAGGCATGGAATGGAATGGATCATGATGAAAAATGGTAGACAACAAGAGAAAGACACACATTAGATGGGATGGAAATCCAAGCGGCTGCCAGAGGCCAATTTGTCATTAGCGAGATTGAAGCGCTGGGAGCCCTGCTCTTGTGCTTGTGCGTCCATTTTCTTGTCCAGCTCCACTTCCACGGCCTGGCCTTGGCCTTGGTCCTGGTCCTGCTGTTGCGAGTCGGGCACAAAGTACACTCCATTGACTCCAAAGCGGATGCAATTGAAGCGATACTCGAAGAACTGGCTGACCAGCACCTTGAACACCACCGAGATGCAGACCTGCACGTTGCCCTCTCCGTAGGCCTGGATGTCGTAGAGCCGTAGGCAGCTGAACAGCGGGAGCGGCAGAAGCAGCGGGACGCAGTAGTCCGGCGGATTGCGGGCCGAGAAGCCAAAGTTGGCCACAGACCGCTGGTTAACTTCGATGTTCAGGCGGAGCCCCAGCTCGGCCCGGCTGTACTCGATGGACGTGCACACTCGCTGGTTGAAGGACTCCCCGAATCCGAAGACCAGGCCGAGGCAGCACCGACAGGTGAACTCAGCGCAGGAGCAGGGCTGCCACAGCTGCGGCAGCTCCACAAGGTTCCCACTGACCTGCTCCGCCTGGCGCCTTGCCGCCCCTCAGAAAGGACATGTATCGCAGCGGCTCCAGCTGCTGGCCATTGAAGGGGTTGTAGAGCAAGAAGCGTTGCCGGTGCTCCACTGAGAGCTCCGGTAGATTCGTAGTGGCCGGCACCGGCATTGCCATCGGGTAGTAGAACTGAGCCTCTGTCCCATGCACGGCCAGAGCTACCGTGGCTGCCAGCAGGTAAAACATTCCAAGGATACCTCGCAGGTGTAAGCTCATGTCGTCCGACTGTTTCTGGGCTGTGCTCCACTTAACTGCGGCTGGGAGGTTGGACAGCTGTCCAGTCACAATGTGATGGGTTTTTCTGGGCGCGTGCTCCACGGCACAATTGTCCAAACAGAATGACTTTTTTGTTTGCCCCCCGTAGAACACTTTTCGAGTGTTTGTGGCTGTATTCAACCAGCCGCTAAATGGCTCGGAAATATTTATTGACTTGCATTAGCTGGCTTTGGTCGGGTACTGCGACATGGCCCAAAACGAAAATAGCCGAAAAATGTGTCAATGCCAGATCACCACGATCGATAGTGAGTGTTGTCTCGAAAGCACATTAATGAGCGAGCTCTGTGCGTTTTCCCCCGCTGATAAGCCAGTGCATAATTTGCATTTTAACGATCTTAAGGCGTTACGTGGAGCGCACAAGATTGTAACAGAAAATTGCACACTTGACACTCTAAAGTGTGTCAAAATTACAGCACAGCTCAATTTGCGCAAACCTGCGGCAACATCAGCCGCCAGCCGCCAGCCATCAGCCGTCAACCATCAGCCATCAGCCATCTGCCTTAAGCTGCAGTTACAGCCAGAGACAGAGACAGAGCCAGAGCCAAAAACACAGCAGCAGCTATCATTGGGCCAAACGTAACGTAACGAAAACGGCTCAAACAAAGAAAGACAATTTGTGCGCTTTATTGCACGTTCAGCAAGCGGGGGTCTGGCAAACGCCCTGAAAAGGTTTACAAGTCATATTCCGCCTTTCCCCATGCCGCCATCCAACCGAGGTCCACGGTCCCATAGCAAACAGGCAATCAAAGGGGGCAATGGAAGGTAAAGTTGGTGTTGGTGTTGGTTTTTCCAATGATTTGTGGATCTGTTTTAAGATTTCATATAGGAAACTTCAAATTTGATTGCAGCTGTCGAGGCATATGTTCGAAGAGTGACCTCGCCTCGGTTCAAAGACACATGTGGCTCGAAAAATGTGAAACATACAGGCATTATCGTACTTGTATTGCTACAATATTTTCCAACCAACGCAATGATGCGGGCAATTAAAGCTTCTATCATGGTCGAAACATGCGACAAAGACTCTTCAGGAAAACCGATTAGAGAATATTTTTTGTCGCCTTGAAAGTTCATTTTCATTGACTCTTGGTTTTGATATTATCAATTATGGTAAATGTACGATATAAATATGTACGTGCGTATGCTCAAAAGAAAAAAGAATTGAAATTCCATTAGGGAAGGGCGAGGTTTTTACCAACAAGAATAAACACCCACCAACCCCCCGCGCCGCCGGCCCTGCGCCCCGCCCCCCGCGCGCCCCGCGGGCGCCGACCAGCATAAGAGGGCAACCAAATTTGGTTTCCAGACTCATGTGATATCACACTGCTACGTGATCACCCCCCCCCCCCCCCCACAAAGGACGAAACTGTGGCAGGCACAATTTTAAAGAAACGATAAAGCCTCACCAGACTGCCGAATCTGAACAGATCGGATCATAATTAAGCCAGTGAAGCGGCCCCCCCCCCCCCCCGCCACACCACCTCCGCCCCACCGCCGCGTTCAGTGCGGAGGAGATGTAGAATATGAATGGAACATGTACAATCTACATGTTAGATGTATAATAGACAAATTTAGATGGCAGTGAGCAAAAAAATGTAAAATGTAAAATTTTTTTTTTTTTCTAAAATTCTAAAAAATCATAAGCTCAAAAGTGTATGTATATACTGACTGAGTACGGGTATAAGTAGAGTCGTGTCCCCAGAAACGACTCACACGTTCCTTCTCGTTAAATTTCAGATCAGTGAAAGACGAACACTTTTTTAATTGGATTCACAAGGAACTATATTGTTTAATTATTCCTTCCGCTTTGTAGATCTAACTATTCCTTACATGAACCGCTTAGGGCCTTTTGCTTGGATTATAAATCTTTTTACCACATTGTTTCAACTTATAATTCCCTTCATCTTCATAAATTAAACCAGCATATCTTTCCCATAATTAGTAATAATATTTGTAGTTTTAGATGCAGACATAGCTCTTGTAGTTCGGGTTAGTTTTAACTTTCCGCGACCGGACAGGATGTACCAGGATAGAGATGTATTTACAGGAATCAAATTTAATGCATTAAAAAGTCAAAAAAATGTTAATATGGAAAAAAATCATTATTACTGATGATTTAAAGAAGCTTGGAAAACATAATTTTAAAAATAATTAGAAGGAAAATAGACAAATATCCATACTCCATAAATATGTAGTTGATATGTAGCAAATGTGTAGTTAACATGTAAGAAATTTACATTTATGTACACCTATTTTTGCTTAAACAATCTAACAAAATAGAATTCCTTAAACTTAATTAATCGGATAAAACTATATTTTCAGCGCTGAAGACCCTATATAGCTAGTAATATTAAATTGAATATCAATATCGAGGATATGTATGTCGTGTCCAGCAGTATATTTAAGGTATATTTTGATAATGACAAGGTATATTTGAAAATGACCGCCAAACTCATTTAGCGCACAAAAAATACTAACATTTTTCGCTCTCAATGCTCTCTTTTCAGAGGTGAAGAGAGCGTTTTCTAGGTGACTTTTCGTGGTGTGAGAAACATGTATCTTACGGGAATGAAGTCTTCTTTATTGTTATTATTAATATGATATAAACATTTAGCAATGAATATTTTTTTGGTTTTCAGCGAAAAATATTCGGCACTATTTTCTTGTTTCATGGTCGAAATTTTTTTGGACTTTTCCCAGAAAACCACCCCAAATGTTTACAGAAAACTTCGAACGATTTGATTGGCTGAAAGTTAAAAACGCGTACGGTAAACCGTTACTTTTGTAATGCATTTTAAAGCGAAAAGTATTTTTTGGGTACACAAAGTGGAGGCCAAGTCGGGTCTGGCGTGGATTAATATGGCCAAATGAATCTGTCGGACTACCAATATAAAAATAAATGTACGATTCTCAAATTTAACAAGATCCCACTTCAATACCTAACTTTCTCTGATCACAAAATTAAGGTTTTCTAAGGCGCGGGCGGGGCCCAAGAATGGTACATATGTCAAATACACGTAAAATTTAATCAAATTAAAAATAATAGTAAAAATAGTCCGTGGAGGGAGGAAATTCTCCGATCCTCTCCAGCTTGTAGCTGTTGACATTCTCCAGGTTAAAAGGTATCCTATTTAGGGACGCACATTTTCCGACGGGTTGAAATGAAAATAATTCCCTTTTACCAATAAATACTGAAACTGTACCAAAAATCTAAACCATTTTTCATTGGTTGGTGCTGATTATTTTGAACGTAGATTCATTGCTGCGTCATTCCTACGCGTTCCCGTAAGATACATTTGATTTGTATGGGAAAAAATTCAGCAACATGTGGAAATGAAGTGGCAGCTTTGTTGTGCAACTTTGGCACGGGATGAGCAACAATCTGCATACCTTGGGAAAAGGGATATTATGGACTTGAGATATTGTTTGTAATTTCAGGCTCCAATTAATGCAAAAACTACTCAGTCTCTGTTCTAAAGATTTTAACAAAGTTTTGCAGCTCACGACTACCAATAATAGGTATCAGAACCGGTATAAATGTATTTATAACACACAAACATGTGCATTAATATGTAAAAAACATGTCAATCTAGGATAAAATCATAAATAATGTTTCAATGGAGCTTGGAACAAAACATTTATTAAATTTGTTAAACACCAATTAAAAGAAATAAGGTATACAAAAGTACATACGCATAGAAGATACTTGGTTAACCAGCAACACTGACATAACATTTAGTCAACATTTAAGTTTTATGCTTTGGCCGTTTTTGTTTGAACCTTAATATGTAAACAATCCAATGAAAAAGAGTTCTAAAAACTAACCAATCCTGAACAAAATTTATGTATCTATCGGATAAAATTATTTGTTTACGGCTGACAGTGCCAAATAGCTAGTAATATTAAACGGAATATTAAAATCGAGTAATATCAACGTTGAATGTTTTGAAAAAAACAATCGATACTGTCGTAATAGAATCAGGCTGAAATAATTATTAAAAAACCATTGAAACCTTTTAGGAACTTGTCCATTGTAAAAATTAGATGCCACCTGTCGATTTTTTTACAAATTTGTCTTCGTATTTTATAGCAGCCAATCCAAACATATCAAAAGCGCAACGACTGTAGCTCGATACTATCATGATAGTCGCAAAACCGTCGATAGTAGAGGCTAGCAGTAAAATATCGATACTATCGATAGTGCCATCGATGGTTTGACACCTCTACTGGCCATTCTTTGATTTTTTGTTTGTGGTCACAGCAAAAATGTTTAAATTCTGTTAACAAACAAAAGATAGTTTGAATTAAATCGCTCGCGCTAAACAGTTTTAGACAGTCTGCACCATCGTTAGCCAACTGCACAATGGGGGAGTTCTTCAAGTCGCTGAACTTCAGCTACTTCAATACCAGCGACGGCAACACAGCTGCCAACGCTGCAGGAGGAGGAGCTGCAGCAGCCACAAACAGTGGCAGAATGGACAACGAATACGTCGGCCAGGTCGTCGAGGTTGGGGGCCACAAGTTGCGCACCAAGTGCGTCATAGCCGAAGGTAAGAGGAGTGGGAGGAGCCACCCTGCCAGATCAGAGGCAACAAGGAGAGCACACAAAAAATCAATAGCAAGTGCAGCCAACGTTTCGAGTCGTGGCTTGAAGGCGACAGATCATCGCGATGCAACGCGAGGGGCGTTACGCTTTCTGATTTTGTCTTTTCTTCAAAAACTCTCGCCTTGCCGAGCGGTAAATGCGATGGCAGCCCAACGTCCTTGTCTGTTTTTTTATTGAAGCATTGCGCTGGCACCAAGCATCGCGACGCAGCCTTTTTACATTAATTTACTCGCACCATCATTCGCGTACCTTCAACGTTCCCTGACCTATGAATCACGCATGCACAGACATACAGCGATCACAAACCAAACTAGTCTGCGCGGCTCGTTTCTTATATAAGAAAGAGCTTTTCTTACCAGCATTCGGGCCGAACATTTAGAAAAGGAACTAGGGGATTTATAATATAAAGTACGCTTGGCCCCTTCTCTTTTGGATAGACAGTCGACGCGGGGTCATTGTCCATCCCAGAGCGTGTTCACTGTGAATGAAATTAAAATGCCTTCTTATCAGAGCTGTGTTATCAACTTCCTCACCCGCTCGTTTCCCTTTCCGTCTCTTTCAGGCGGCTATGCGTTCGTGTATGTCGCGCAAGATGTGCAAACTGGCACCGAATACGCCCTCAAGCGCTTGATTGGGGCCGATCAGCATGCATGCAGTGCCATCGCCAACGAGATCGACGTCCACAAGCAGCTCTCGGGGAATGGGAACATTGTGGCCTTCATCGGATCCAGCTATGTGGCCCCGGCGCCGCAGCAGCCCCAGCAGGGCGTTCAGTATCTGTTGCTGACGGAACTCTGCAAGGGTAAGCGATTGAAATTGCTCGGTTTGGTGTCTTACATTTCCCGTTGGATTTTCTTGCAGGCGGCTCTCTGGTGGACTGTTTCAAGGTGGACAATGGGGCCATTGACCCACCAGTGGTGCTGCGTATTTTCTACCAAATGGCACGGGCCGTTGCCTACATGCACGCCCAGGAGCCGCCCATTGCCCACCGGGACATAAAGGTGAGCAGTCCATCCGCATTGCTATCTGGAACCCCTTTATCCGTTTGCCTTGCAGATCGAAAACTTCCTTATCGGCAACGACAAGCAGATCAAGCTGTGCGACTTTGGCTCTGCAAGCAGAGAAATACTCTCGCCGACATTCGAATGGAGTGCCCACCAGCGCAACATGTTGGAGGACCAGCTGAACACTGTGACGACGCCGATGTATCGCGCACCCGAAATGCTGGACACCTGGTCGAACAATCCGATCGGCACCAAGGCGGATATCTGGGCCCTGGGATGCATTCTCTACTTCCTGTGCTATCGAAGACACCCGTACGAGGATGGCGGCAAACTACGCATCATTAATGCCAACTACATCCTGCCGCCCGAGCCAAGATATCAGTGCTTCCGTGATATCATCAAAGGCTGCTTCAAAGTCAATCCCGTTGAGCGTCTGGACATCTCCATGGTACTCGAGCGTCTGGCGGCTATAGCGGAGACAAACAACTGGTCCCTGAAAGGGCCCTTAGACCTGCGCGGAATTCCAATCAATTCATCGCCGACTGAGAGTCCGGCCAGAAATACACCCACACAATCAGAATTTTATTCCGATACACCGCCTGCCGCTGCACAGCAAGCGGCTCCCGCCGCAACCACCGCAGTCCCCGCAGCCGCTTCCAGCAATGGACAGGGAAGTCTTCTGTCATCGCTACGCGGAGGAGCTGGAACGCTGTTCAAGAACCTCAAAGACACCTCCACTAAGGTCATGCAGACAATGCAGCAGTCGATAGCGCGTAACGATCTCGATATCAGCCACATTACCTCGAGGGTTTTGGTCATGCCCTGCCCATCGGATGGCTTCGAGTCGGCCTACAAGACGAACAACATCGAAGACGTCCGCCTGTCCCTGGAGAGTCGCTTCGCCCCTCAAAAGATTAGCATTTACAACTTTGGACAGCGCACTGTGCCCCGCCTCCCGCCCCCTGTGCGAACGGTGGAAGCAGGGTCCGTTTACGGTTGCCCCCAGGCACATGCCCCCAATCTGCAGGTGTGTAGAAGTACCTTACATGCTGCTCTCTCTTTCTCTACTTCGTCATTCCTTTAGGGTCTCTTCACTGTGTCGGCGGACATTTACAACTTCCTCAACGCGGATCCAAAGTCGATTGTGGTCGTGCAAACTGGCGATTCGGGAGGATGCACAGCTGCCACCGTGATCTGTGCGTTGCTCATGTATGCGGACCTTCTTCACGAGCCGGAGGACGCTGTGCAGGTGTTTGCGGTCAAGCGACACACAATTAATCTGCGTCCATCTGAATTTCGTTTCCTCTATTACTTTGGCGACATCCTGCGACCGACGCCGCTGCTGCCTCACTACAAGAACACCAATCTGGTGGCGCTCACCTGCCAGCCCGTTCCACGAATGACCAAGGCACGGGACGGCTGCCGAATCTATATGGAGGTCTACTGCAACGAGAAGATGTTGCTCAGCACACTGCAGGACTACGACAAGATGCGGTGAGCATGCAGCGAAAGAGCCAGCCACTGGTGACGGTAGGTGACAAAGGTAATATTTCGTATCTTCTGCAGTCTGCACCTGGCCGGTCCCGGAAAAATTGTGCTGCCCATTAATCTGACCGTATGCGGCGATGTTACAATAGTATTATACCACGCCCGGAACGCACTCAAGGGAATGGTGCGGCCCCAGGGACTGAAGATCTGTCAGCTTCAAATCCATACGGGCTTCATCCCGGAGCCGGAAACCTTGATTACATTCAGGAGTCACGACCTTGACGACTTGCCAGATCCGGAGCAGGTGACGCAAAACTTTTGCGTCTCGCTATCGCTGGCTGTGACAGAGTCGGAGAGCCCGCCCAGTCACAAGCCCCCATGGATACCAGCCAAGCCAAAACGATCGGCACACACCTTATTCAGTTCCGACCTGGAATATGCCGAGATGCTGGATAACTTCGGTAGGCTTGTTTCTGCTCCTGGACTGCTATCTACTACACGATTTCATTTTTAGTGACAAAGCCAACAACGCGTCCTTCGCCGCCAGCGGCGAGGAAACCAGAGCGGTCCAGCTCTCCGCTTGTGCTGCCCGATGTCACCGAAATAGCTCATGATACTCCCGCTGCTGTGCCGGAGCCCTCGCCGCCCATCGATTTGCTAAATCTCAACCAGCAGCCGAGTGACGCACCAGCAGGAGATCCCCTAGCAAGCGCAATGCCCAGCACTGATGCCAGCTTTGACCTGCTGGGAGCCTTCGGCGATGATGACTCCACTGGCATTGGGTCGACGTCAGTGCCAGACATTCTTCCTCCACCGCCGCAGGCGCAACTGCCAAAAATCAACGCTGACCTGTTCGACATCTTCGGCTCAGCAGACCAGAACAGTACTCCTAGCCTAAAGCCCTCGACCAGTGCAGGACTTCCACCGTTTGTGGGATCTGTTCCTGCTTTTGCAAGCCAGCCAGCTCCTGCCAGAAAGAATCCGTCGCCCACGCAGTCTCAAAAGCCTGCGGACCCCTTTGCGGACATTGCAAACCTAGCTTCTGGTCTCAACATAAACTTCAATCGCAGTACACTGAGTGGAAAGTCCCCGGTGGGAAACAGTCCGCAGCCGACGCAGTACTCAAGCCCCACGCACAAGCCGGCTCAATCCCAGCAACAGGCACAGGCCCAGCCCCAAACAACATTTGTGAAGACGCCGCCTCCGCCGCAGCCGCAGCCACAGCCACAGCCACAGCCCACATTTGTAAAGACTCCTCCGCCACAGCAGTCCACCACTGCTCAGGGGCGTGCGGACTACAGTCGCGCGCACTTCGATTCACCAAAAGCACCTCAGCAGGCGACAGCTGGCGGTGCTAAGGGCTCTGATATCTTTGCAGATATCCTGGGGCAACAGGGATACTCGTTTGGCAGCAAAATGAGTCACGGTCCGCGGTCCATCAACGAAATGCGCAAAGAAGAGCTCGTCAGGGACATGGACCCCAAGAAAGTTCGCATAATGGAATGGGTAAGGACAATTGTAATGATTACAATGCATCCTCATGGTCATGGTCACTACATACTACTTGCAGACTGATGGTAAAAAAAACAACATTCGGGCTCTTCTCAGCTCTATGCACTCGGTGCTGTGGGAGAACGCCAAATGGCAGCGTTGTGAAATGTCAACTATGGTGACGCCCGCCGAGGTGAAAAAGGCCTATCGTCGTGCCTGTTTGGCCGTGCATCCTGACAAGGTAAGTGCTGAAATTTGCAAATTGTTCATTGATCATGTGCTCTGTAACATGCGAATCTTTCAGCACAATGGCACAGACAACGAGGAGATTGCCAAGCTCATTTTTATGGAACTGAACAATGCGTGGACAGATTTCGAAAACGATGCCACGCAGCAGAATATGTTCAATGCGTAAAACGCGTCCTATGTCTATAGATATGCCTATCATATTTAGCCCTAATTATCCTACCATTAGCTGAAACTAGTGTAAAGCCATTTAAAAGTGTAAGCTTAAGTATGTAAAGTGAGAGTACGAGACGAGTATTTGCCTATGCCGCCAAAGGCTTAGGCTTAGCCCAAACGAGCCCCCTTATGAAATGTTTAACTATTTATGGACAATTTACTTAATTTTTATACCAATCAAGCCAATGCCTATACATTCCCCGCCCCCTTCCAAACACACCATGCTCCATGCTGATGCTGGGGTAAATTGAAGATTATCATTTTCTTAATTGTACGGAATTTGAGTTCTCTCCTCGACCTGTAAGCAACGTACATATACTTATGTATATTCCCCTGAAAATATTATCGTTCCACAAATCAAACACTTAGCTAAAACTAATACCTGTCCGTGTAGCCCCTTTAGCCAATATGTGATTATACTACATGCGACTACATGCTATATACGATGGCATTCTGAGATGTTAAGAAGTTACATAGTACCACACAGCTGTATGAAACTGTTTTGAAATGTACAAGGTGTATTTGAAACTGTTAGTGTTGACTCCATGGCAATCCTCCAAGTGTACATAAATGAGTATATATATAGATTATATGTTATTTAGAAGCGAAGTTTCGTTTCAGCATTTACGATTTGTCCGCAAGATAATAAATTCTCTATATTCGTTTCCTTGTGAAATGCAACTGTTACCTTACATTCCGATTTCCCTACTTTGACTCGGGTGTTTTGACTCGTTTGCCGGCCACGAAGACCTCTACTATATTTCGATCGTTGCCAGTGTAAATGAATTTCTCGAGGAGCTCATTGACGTTGAGCGGACGCACTGGTTTCTCCACGACGCTGACATCCACCAGCAGGGCATCAAATTCCTTTCCCAGGACAAAGTTGCCCGTCAGATGGTCGAGAGAGAGGGCCTTGGCGCCACCAAGTGTGGCCAAGTAGAGTGCCTGCTTGTACTTCAGCTGGACATACTTCGGATCGGGGCTTTTGGCTTCGCCCGTGCCGCGAATGTTCTGCTTCTTGAAGAAATCCAAGTGCTTGGACACATCCAAGGCGCGCAGCAAGGCATCTTGGATGGAAACAGAGTTCCCCCCCGACACGTCTGTTCCGAGTCCGACAGTTACGCCGGCGTTAATCAGGCGCTGGACGTCGCACAGCCCGGAGCTCAACATCGTATTCGATGCGGGGCAATGTGCAATGGATGTACCGCGCTGCTTCAGGAGTGCAATTTCGTCGTCCTCGAGATGTACGCCGTGCGCCATCACAGTCTGTCGACCAAAAAGATGAAAGCAATCGAAACCTACACTCCTACACCGACCGACTTACCTTTTTGGTTAGCAGGCCAGCGTCGTCGTAGGCCCCAGCATAACTGGTTTTGAAAATGCCTTTCACTACCTCCACCTCTGCAAGGTTCTCACTGATGTGACTCTGAACATGGACGTCCAGACGCTTTGCAATGTCGCCCAACTCCTTCAAGAGTTCTTTGCTGCAGCTGAGTGCAAACCGTGGCGTTATCGTTGGAAGCACAAGGGGGCTCTTGAGACCCTGCAACTTCCCAACGAATGTTTCCGTCGCCTTTGTCGACTCCTCTGTCGTTTCCCTGTAAGTAAAGTGCTTGAGTTGATTGGCCAAATCGATACCTGTGACGGCTGTACGCTGTACTCACACATAGTAGTCGGGGCTGTTGCAATTGGAGCATACTTTACCGATCAGCGCCCGCTGGCCTTGGCGAGCTGCTTCCCGTGCCAATATCAGTGTGGATTCAAGGTTGTTGGTGGCGAAATAGGAGGCCAAAGTGGTTCCACAGCGTATCGTTGCTTCCTATAGGGGGTAGTGGTATCGGATCACATTATCAGCACTGCAAGCGCCACAATCAATTGCTACATTTGTGAGAGTGAATCGGATGGATGGGCAATCAACGATAAGCGGGAGGCCGCGATCGTCGGTTTATGTACGAGTATGGTATGGGAGTGTGTGCGACCGAATACAAACAGTATGGTTGGGGGAATATTAATTGACGCTTACGACAACGCTCTTGTAGACTTTAAGGGCATAGCTCTGGTCGGAGAACTTCGCCTCCAGAGGAAACGTGTACGTGTTGAGCCAGTCCAGCAGTGGCATGTCCAGTCCTAGGCCATACTGCGCGTATTGCGGTGCGTGTATGTGGCAGTCTACAAATCCCGGCATCAAAAACTGGTTCTCCGACAGACGCACCACGGACAGCTCCGTGGGGCTCAACTTGTTGCTGGACAGCCAAGAGTCGTAGTCGTTGCCCACGCCAATAATCTAAGGGAAACGAAACACTGCTTAGCTGGAGCTCACTTTGAAACTCGCATATATCCATACCTTGCCATCCTCAGCTACGGCCAAGAATCCATTTTCAAAGGACTCGAAGTCATCGAAAGCCTTCGTATGTACAATCGTTCCACGGTAAATAGTCGGCATGACAGCAATTTATTATCAACGTGTTCAAGAAGCGCGAGCAGCTGGACAGCATATTTAAATTACGCCAGGGCTGTAAAACCATCGCTGGCACTATCGATAGTATGGTATTGGTTTATAATTGTCAGATAGATCGATGGTTATTTCCGACCATCGACCATCAGTGAAAAAGTAGGATTTTGAAATCTAGATAATGATATAGATAATGATACGGAGAACCAATCTTCTAACGAGAAATCTTCAACCACAAACCAAAAATAATTGTTTGTACAATTTTGTTGAGGAAAATTTCAGTAATTTCATCAACCAATTAATTGAAATTTTCTCCCAGGAGAACGATCATCAGACCTGAAGCCGGGCCTGCACACAGCCTGGCAATCCATAAAAAAAATGACTTTCCAGTTGAAGAATGGGAGGCAGTGAACGTCCACTTAACAAGGGACTGACAACAGTTGTTCTCCTGAGAATATCCCACTATAAGACAGTTCCAATCGAATAATCTTTTGCTAATTCTTTATTCTAAAATTGGAATAAAATAATTGGAGGTTTCCTTTGACTTTATTTGAAAAGTAATCCAGTTTATATAAAAATTGCAAATTGCAGTCGTCATTAATAAATATTATTTTTTCAGGGCGCCCATGCGGGTGGCATCCTGACTTGGATAGGGCACTTGACCAGGTGGCGGAGGAATCGAGATCGAGTCAAGATTCACACCAGAGGTAGATGTTGCCGTTGCGCTTGTTCCGCTGTTGGTGTTGCTGTAGGGCGCCGCATAGGTTGGCTGTCCGTACATCTGGTACGCGGAGGCCGGCACCAAGTTTGAGGGTAGCTGGTGGAGCTTCAAGCCAGCGGGCATGACATTTATCTGCTCCTGTCGCAGATTGAAGTAGTCATTCGGCTTGGCGCTGGGCGGCGGAATGCCTGCTACATCAAAGCGTCTGTCCGTCTTGGCCGCAGTTCCTTGCTTGGCCTGCGAGTGGGCCCACTTGATGCTCACCTTGCGGCCATGGATCACCAGCTTGTTGAAGGAGCGCTCGGCTGCCAGCTCGGCGGCGCCACGCTTGGTGTACTGCACAAATGCGCACTGCTGTCTTGGCACCAGTGCAATCGACCGAATCTCGCCATACTGGTAAAACTGGTCGCGCAGTTCCGGCTCGGTGATTTCCTCGGGAAGATTGCCGACATAGAGGGTAGTTATGTTGCGGTCCTCTGGAGGTTCCAGCGTTGGCAGCGAGGCTGCTCGCTTCATGATCTTTTCGGCAACTGGATCGTTGCGTCCATAGTAGCGATCCTTAATGTTTTGCTCGCATAGTGGGTCGTCGGGCTCGTTCGGCTTGTCGTGACGGTACGGACACTCCTCGCCACGCTTGCACTCACCCTTTACCCAGAACGAGCAGATGTGGGGTCTGTTCCGCTTATAGTAGGGTGCAGTGCGTGCCAATTTGGACAGCATCTCATTCGCCGCCAGAGAGCGGCCCACGGCGCCAGCTGCCTCAGTGCCATCGCCATCCTGAAGCTGGGCGTCGATGTTCTGTATGTAGTATTCCTTGTTAACGTCACTTTGGGGCATTGTGTCTGCCACCTTGAGGGCAGCGTCTCGCACTTGAATTGGCAGTCCGTACTCCAGGTCTAGCAGGCATGTCTGGCAAACATTTTTTAGGCGTGCACACGTCTGGCAAATCTCCGTTTTCTTGAAGCGCATACGGGCTCCTGGACACCAGCGGAATATTGTAAACGGACGCGTGCAAATCTTGCATTCTTTACCGAATCTCTCTTTTATCATGCGTACGTACGGATTGTCCCCCAGGCAGGTTTGACACAAAATCGGGAATTCCGCGTCTTCCCAGTTCTGTCGATTGTAGGTGTTTGTGGTCTTGGACATAGACATGACGACGCCACTTTAATTTATTTATTTTCTTAAAATTTTTAGATGCAGTATGACAGACCCTCAGAAATATACAGAAATATACCTTCTAAGTATAAAATATACCGTAAATATACCGAAAAAGGACTTAACCCATATAGCCCCCTCTAATAATAGAGGAACACTTTTAGTAAAACTAAAGTTAAAATAATACTATTTGTCTCCTGTCTCCTTGTAGACCCATCATTCCTCATTATTTAATTCTTAAGGATTCTTAATTTTTTGTGGGAACTATCATCTGGTCGCCAAAGGGCTAACTGCATGAGGGACAAAACGCCAAATAATTGTTCATAGCCATTGGTTTTTTTTTTGGGATGACGGCTATGTTGTTATTGATATTTTTCTGGGTTATATCAACAACGAAACTACTCTTTTCAGCCATTTTCGAATTTAGAAAACACTGCGTTTTTGTCAAATGCAATAACGCAGCCCTGGGGTAAATAGCCTATCAAAATCAAAATCTTGACATCGATATCTTAATATCGACAATCGTCAAACAACCATCGTATTGCATTTGTTTACATTTTTTACTATATTAGCTAGTTTCATAAACAATTAACACAATGGCAAATGTAAAGAGATACAGGAGAACTTCAAAGTCATCCGATGACGGAGCGGAGGATAACGACGACTATGTACCGTATGTTCCTGTCAAAGAGCGGAAAAAGCAGCACATGATGAAACTGGGGCGCGTCGTCCAACTGGCGTCCGAGACGGCACAGCCCAAGTCGTCTAGCGAGAATGAGAACGACGACGACTCGCAGGGTGCCCACGATGCCGAGATCTATGGACGGAAGTACAACATCAGCCTGCTGGACCAGCATACGGAGCTGAAAAAGATAGCGGAGGCGAAAAAACTAAGCGCTGTAGAGAAACAACTGCGGGAGGAGGCAAAGATCATGGAGAGCATTGCCCAGCAGAAGGCTCTGATGGGAGTGGCTGAGCTGGCCAAGGGCATACAGTACGAAGATCCCATAAAGACCTCCTGGAGACCGCCGCGCTACATAGAAGCGATGCCCGAGGAGGAGCGACAAGCTATCCAAAAGCACCTGAGGATACTCGTGGAGGGCGAGAATCCAAGCCCTCCCATACGCAGCTTCATCGAGATGAAGTTCCCGAAGGGCATCCTCGATGGACTTGCCGCCAAGGGCATTAAGACTCCCACTCCGATCCAAGTTCAAGGCTTGCCCACCGTCCTCGCTGGGCGCGATCTCATTGGAATTGCTTTCACTGGCTCCGGAAAGACACTGGTCTTTGTGCTGCCCCTCCTCATGTTCGCGCTTGAGCAAGAGTATAGCCTGCCCTTTGAACGCAATGAAGGGCCATATGGACTGATCATATGCCCGTCGCGGGAGTTGGCCAAACAGACGCACGAAATCATTCAGCACTACAGTAAACATCTTCAGGCTTGTGGCATGCCTGAGGTGCGATCCTGTTTGGCCATGGGAGGTCTGCCAGTTAGCGAGGCTCTGGATGTAATCTCCCGAGGCGTCCACATTGTGGTGGCGACGCCTGGACGACTTATGGATATGCTGGACAAAAAGATCCTCACGCTGGACATGTGCCGATATCTATGCATGGACGAGGCTGACCGAATGATTGACATGGGCTTCGAGGAGGATGTCCGCACAATTTTCTCCTTCTTCAAGGGCCAGCGCCAGACCCTCCTGTTCTCGGCCACCATGCCGAAAAAGATTCAGAACTTTGCCCGGTCTGCGCTTGTGAAGCCGGTCACCATAAATGTTGGGCGAGCGGGAGCCGCTTCTATGAATGTCACCCAACAGGTGGAATATGTGAAGCAGGAGGCAAAAGTTGTCTACTTGCTCGACTGCCTGCAGAAGACTGCGCCGCCCGTGCTGATTTTTGCCGAGAAGAAGCAGGATGTGGACTGCATACACGAGTATTTGCTGCTGAAGGGGGTCGAGGCGGTGGCCATACACGGCGGAAAAGACCAGGAGGAGCGCTCTCGAGCTGTCGACGCCTACCGCGTGGGAAAGAAGGACGTGCTTGTGGCCACAGATGTCGCCTCAAAGGGACTGGATTTTCCCAACGTGCAACATGTCATCAACTACGACATGCCAGACGATATTGAAAACTATGTGCATCGCATTGGTCGAACGGGCCGTTCGAACACCAAGGGATTGGCCACCACTCTTATCAACAAGATTACCGAGCAGTCTGTACTTCTGGATCTGAAGCACCTTCTTCTTGAGGGCAAGCAGGAGGTGCCCGATTTTCTCGACGAGCTGGCGCCAGAGGCCGAGCACCAGCACCTGGACCTGGGCGATTCGCATGGTTGCAGCTACTGCGGCGGTCTTGGCCATCGCATCACCGAGTGCCCCAAGCTGGAGGCCGTGCAGAACAAGCAGGCCTCCAACATTGGACGAAGGGACTACCTATCGAACACTGCGGCCGATTACTAGACATTATTCTTAGACTACTTTGACGAATGGATTGAAATAAAGCTGGGAATTCCTAAGCTTTCATTTAGGTGAAGCACTGCCCGACTTTCAACCTGAATTCCTAGTATTATCAACTTTTGTTTTCAATCTGTTTACAGCTTGTGTGCGGGTAATTTTCACTTGTACTTATCACACTCTGCTCACATTATCAACAATCTACGACGGCACAACAACGGCAGCATGCGAGCGGCAGAGCCACACGGCGCGAGTGCGACTCGGCTTTGAGCGCGGCCTGCCCGGCCCGTCCCGGACTTTATAAAAGCGAAGACGAGCTTTGCCTTTCGTTCAGTGTCTCGATCGGCCGTTTGTTGCTCACACCTCTCTCCAAGTTCCCGTGTACGTTCTCAGTCGCGCATTAAATCTTGGTTCGGTTCGGGCAGTTCGTATTGACCTAAGAGTAAGTGTTTACTTGTTTGCTTTGCCTCGGTGAGCATTCGATGGTCACTTTTCGATAGCCTCAAATGATAACTAGCTGAATACGTGTCGGTTTTTATAATCCTTTAAGAAAGTAATATAAGTCCCAAGACACTCTGGAGAGGCCCGCTTAATTGAGCTCAATTGATGGTTGATGTCTGATTACATAAATGCAGTTTATAGACTCAAACAATTACTGCTTTAGAAAATGTGTAGACCTCATCTAATTAAATTGGATGCTGATTTGGCTTATCAATTGTTTTGAAAAATATAAAATGATCTCGGTTCTGTTCTGACCTTTCGATGTGTACTACGAGTGTATGTGTACATATGTACAAGTGTATACAACGGAAACGGTAATCAACATTCAATGTACTGTTTGCTCGTACATCAAATGTACTTCGAAATGCGTATTTATTTGAGATTCTGTGTGCCTCTTAAGCTTCATCGTCTTACAATATTGTTGATAGATTAGCATCCCCAGAAACTCTGTTATTAATGACGGTCCTAATGGGCATACCTTTTGTTCCACCAACTCAACTCTTTATTAATTGTGATTGATGGGTTTGTTGACGCTTTTTGTCATGTGTAAACTACAATGCTTGTGGATACGTACATACATATGTACTTAAGTACGGCTAGTTATGACTCCATATATACATACATATATCTTTAGGTATTCATGATTGATACCCGAAACACGTTTACTATATTTGATATTCACTCCATGAGGACAGACGTCAAGCGAAAAAAAATGCGAACTTGAAAACGGCACAGAAAGTGCCCCAAAAGGCAGAAACCTCCAATTAAATATAGACATTTTTCCCCCTTGCTTATGATTGTGACCCACTTGCAGAGAAAGGGCTCGTTGGGCTTGGTGTTTGGTATCAGCGATGATATGCTACCTTACCAGCCCCAGACGTGTCGTGTCGTCATGGCGCAAAACTAATTACTTGAAAGCAATTTGCCAAAACATGCGTGCAGCCTTTTGATTCACAGCTTCGCCGGATGGCCTCAAGATCCGATCAGACATCACAGCATACATATCTACATACAACTGTATGTACATATGTAAATAGTGGCCGAAAAAAGTGTACGTACTCGCTCGATGCCGAATTGTTATCTCCAGAATAGAGTGGAATGGGAAAAATAATGATGCACTTTTGTTTCATACGCAAATATCTCACGAAAGGAAGAAAGAGAAAGGTATCGGTCAGTTCTTTATCTCGTTGGGACCAAGTGAGGCTTTGGCTGTTATGTGGAACTCCTGGGTTGGCCACAGACTAATCCCTGACACTGTACATTTGTGTGAACTAATGCGTGTACGAAAATGATATCATAGTACAAGTTGGCAGCCACTAGGAATTTTTCTCTGACAAGATGCTTTGCATAATGGGAAACTAATGATATTTGATATTATTTGATTAACTAAATAATATGACTTAGTTAGTATGAACAAACGTGTTTTGGGGGTTAGTTAACACATTAATTAGCAGCTAACTATTCTCCAGATATGTCTGTTTATCGGGGTGATCTCTTAAACACTCTTAACAGCTGACGCTAACTCGTTATTTCTCTTACAATTACAGTTCACACGCTCTTGCCTGGGATCAGCGCGGACAATCATCTCTGTTTGAGAAAAACAAAGCGAATATACATCCAAATTCGAGATAAATATACATACATACACATTTATATACTCATAACAAAAACGAATACCCAGACACATCGGGGAATACGCGGTATACGCGCAACTTGTTATATTTATCGCAACAATAAACAAAGCGGCGCTGCTGTCGCTTCGGCACGGGACAGAGGCGATACGCGAAATGGAAACTTCGGGCGCCGCCAGCATGGCAGTCATCTCCAGGTAATGCAAGCGAACAGTTCTCTTCTTGGCTAATGGGCTCCCATAGAACTCTCGACAGCAAATATAAGACAGTTTAATTAGTGCAAACAGTTTAGAAAGGGGTTACTCATACGACGCGCGTCAGAGCTCTCATCTGGCTTAAAACGTAAGTAGGGGAGAGTGTCTTTCGAGCATATTGTCTATACATGGCAATTACGAGCGAGTTTATCATATGGAACGCCTCTGATGAAAAGCTTTCGCCGCCATGTGACATTTATGGCCATTTATAGACATTTATGGACCTGACTCACCCGAAGGCTGTCGGGTGACTGTTTTATCGTCCTTGGGCGGGGTTCAAGTCATTCCACAATCCCACCGGACAGACTCTGATTCTCTGACATCGTACAAAACTGATTGAGACTCGGGTAACCATTATCTGTCTGCCTTCCAGCCTGCTGGTGTTCCTCGCACTCTCCACCACTCTTTGCTCAGCGGGTACATTCAACGCCCGCCCCGCGTTCCCTGTGCAAAACCAGCCAACTGCCGAGAACAGCAAGCAGCCCGGAAGACGCATCATGAACCCAGCCTTTGCCAACGCCGGCCGCGCTCCCGGCCTGGAAATCTGGCGCGTTGAGGTAAGTCAATATTTCGAGTTTTTGATTTCACTCTCGCCGGTGCCAGTGCCAGTGCAAGTGCCAACGCCAGCTGTTCCGAAAAGCGTATAAATAGCTGGCGCTTGTTTCATCTTCTGGGGGAAAGTTCGCAGCGCAGCGCAGCTCCCACGCACGACTGACTGCGTTGCTCGTGCAGCGGCAGCGGCAGCCTGTGGCATCCACAACCCAGCGGGGAAACAGCTCTAGCAGGCATGCATGGTCCCCCGCCATCGCAGCTCTTCAGCTGCCCAACCGGCACGCAATGTGGGTGCCACATGTTTATAAGTGCCAGCTATACATAAATACGTCTATAGCTAATGTTCTGTTAATTAACTGAATTTATTAGGTCCGGAATGGCCAGCGCTTTTTGTTTATAATGGGAAACGGTCAAAACATTTATCCCAGACGCAAAATTTTGTATATTCTCGTAGAACACATCTTGAATATTCCACGCATGTGTGCAATATGCCTGCACGAATTTCTTCTATCAATTTTTATTCATTTGACTTTCTCCAGAATTTCGAGCCGGTGGCCTACCCAAAGAATAACTACGGAAAATTCTTCACCGGAGACTCCTTCATTGTGTTGAATGTAAGTATGAAATAAGGTGGAAGGGAGCTCTGTACCGATCATAAGGGGATGTTCTTGGAAATGGAATCTGTACACACATATATCACATGTTTACCCATGAATCATCATGCGCAGAATTTCTGTTGAATCAGTGACAAATGTGGAACTCTTGAATTTAATTCCAGACCATTGAAAGCAAGAAAGACAAAAAACTCTCCTGGGATGTGCACTTCTGGTTGGGCTCCGAAACGTCGACCGATGAGGCTGGGGCTGCTGCCATCCTGACCGTCCAATTGGATGACCTCCTGAATGGCGGCCCTGTGCAGCATCGCGAGGTGCAGGATCACGAGTCGCAGCTGTTCCTGGGATACTTCAAGAATGGTTCGACAAGCTCCCAAAGCCTTTTTACACAGTCAAATAACCAAGCCACCATTTCAGGCGTTCGCTACGAACAGGGCGGTGTCGGAACCGGCTTCAAGCACGTAGAGACAAACGCCCAGGGGCAGAAGCGACTGTTCCAGGTCAAGGGCAAGCGGAACGTGCGTGTGCGGCAGGTGAATCTGTCAGTGTCCTCGATGAACCAGGGCGACTGTTTCATCTTGGATGCGGGTAGCGATATCTACGTCTACGTGGGATCGCAGGCCAAGCGCGTGGAGAAGCTGAAGGCCATCAGCGCTGCGAATCAGATCAGAGATCAGGACCACAATGGACGTGCCCGTGTGCAAATAATCGATGACTTTAGCACCGAGGCAGACAAGCAGCAGTTCTTTGATGTGCTCGGATCCGGATCCGCCGGCCAGGTTCCCGAGGAATCCACCGCAGAGGAGGACAGCGCTTTTGAGCGTGCCGACGCTGCAGCCGTGACCCTCTACAAGGTGAGTGATGCCAGCGGCAAACTACAAGTGGACACCGTCGCGCAGAAACCTTTGACCCAGGCCATGCTGGACACTCGCGATTGCTTCATTCTGGACACTGGCTCCGGCATTTTCGTGTGGGTCGGACGAGGCGCCACTCCAAAGGAGAAGACCGACGCGATGGCCAAGGCCCAAGAGTTCCTCCGCACCAAAAAATACCCTGCCTGGACCCAGATCGAGCGCATTGTCGAGGGCGCCGAGTCCGCACCATTCAAGCAATACTTTGCCACCTGGCGCGACGCTGGCATGGCGCACACACGCCTCATTCGCTCCGCCCTGGATATCGGCTCAGACGAGTCGCTGGATGTGGACGAGATCGACGCTGTGGTGCACAAACTGAAGAGGAGTGGTGGACGGGCCATTGGCTTTATGCCGGACCACGGACAGAACAGCATTGAGAGCATCACGCAGTACGTCAGCAAGCCCGATTCGGGCGAGGTCCTGGTCCACACCGTTCCCTTCGAGGAAAACCTTCCGCTTCTGGGCTTTGGCTCGTATGTTCTCACCTACAACTACGAGGCCAACAATGGCGACCAGGGCCCCATCGTTTACGTGTGGCAGGGTGCCAAGGCCAGCGCTGCTGTCAAGGAGAGAGCCTTCCAGGAAGGCCTCTCCATGGCTGTGGAGAAGAACGCCCTGCTAGTGCTGACCGCTCAAAGCCACGAGCCGCGCCACTTCTATAAGATCTTCAAGGGCAAGCTTCTGGCCTCGTACACCGCCCTGCCAGTGACGGCGCAGCTGTTCCGCATCCGGGGCACCGTCGAGAGCGATATCCATGCCAGCGAAGTGCCCGCCGATAGCTCGTCACTGGCCTCTGGGGATGCTTTCGCTCTCGTGTCCGCGAAGTCGCACAAGATCTTTATTTGGAATGGCCTGGGAGCGTCTAGCTTCGAAAAAACTGCGGCCAATGAACGCTTTGCGCACTACTGGAACGACGCTGAGGTGGAGGTGGTCGAGGAGGGTGCAGAGCCCGAGGAATTCTGGGAGGAGCTGAATGGAGAGGGCCAGTACGATCGCAGCCTGGACGACCATGGAGCCCCCCTGCTGGAGCCACGTCTCTTCCACTGTCGGCTCACCCGCAATGGGTTCGTGAAGGTCGAGCAAGTGGCTAAGTACGAACAGGAGGACTTGGACACCGACGATGTCATGCTGCTCGATGCCGGCGATGAAATCTACATGTGGGTCGGCTCCGGAGCCACCGCCGAGGAGAACAGCAAGATTGTGGACATGGCAAAGGTGTGTTCTATCCGCACACGGCTGAAATTTTCAATTATCTTAATTAATTATTCTCTAATTAATATCCTGCATAGCGCTACATCCGAGTGGAGCCCACCGCACGCACCATCGATACCGTGAGCATCGTGCGCGTCGCCCAGGGCCAGGAGCCACGGGCCTTCAAGCGTATGTTCCCGAACTGGGAGGACAACTACTGGCAGGTTAGTGAGACGGAGGTTGACGCTGCCAACTAGTCGCCGCATGAATACATACATAATCGTAACAATCTGTAATTGCTTTCATCGTTGTGCATTGCTTAACCTTAAACACGTCACTAAACATACTAAAATATTTCGCCAATGCCGTCCGTGAGTAGAACACTAATGCATTAGTCGCATGCTTGAATTTGTTGAAGAAAACTTCATCTCGTTTATGTGTAATTAATCGCCATATTTTGATCGCCCATCCACAGACATTGCCTTCCTACGAGGACGTCAAGCAGCAGGTGCTTGATGCCAACAACGAGGTCTAGAAAACCCACCCGATGGAATCTCAGCAAAATTTACCAAATAACTTTTTGTTTTTACCCTTTGAAAACGTGCATCGTTCGAGTATGTAACTTTATAATAAATTGATAAAATGTATAAAACCCATAAGATGTTCTCTTGGGCTCCATCCACGAATGCACAAACGAAATTCCAGTTCTTAAGCTACGAGGCAAAGAATACTTTATTAAATTGCGCACCTAATCATTTGAGTCATTCCACGTTGTGCCCTCGATCCAATCCAAGAAGGACGATACCCGCGTGTACACCGACGGATAGCTGCTGCGGCAGAACACTCCATACGACGTTATGCCAATGAGATGGTAGTGAATATTTTGGCGACGACGCCGACCCGGCAGATTCAGCTGCAAGGGACCACCTGAGTCGCCCTGACAGGTGTCTCGGTTGAGAATGTAATCCTGTGCGCAAATTTGACTAGCCACCACGCCGTTCGGGGTCTCGGAAATGGGCGGCAGCCCGTTGTTGCACTCGGCATTGGGCACAACGGTCAAGTTCAGGTTGGTCAGTCGATTCGTCATGGGCTTCGCAAAGCTTGTCGAGCCATATCCCATAGCAAACGCAATGGAAGTGGGCAGCTCGGAGAATACCCACAGGCGTATGGGTCTCACGTACACAGTCAACCTGTAAGATGCTGCAGACGTAGCTCTCAGCCGATACTGGTTTGTTTAGTTGCCTGATTACTCACTCCACCTCTCCCTGCAGCCGTAGCAGGGCGATGTCGTTGTAGTACAGCTGATTTGTGTAGTTGGGATGTGTGAAAATGTCCTCTATCTGCATGAGCTGCGGCTCCACTGTTCGCTCATCGGCGACCAGATTCAAGTCCCCGATGCGCACCCACTTCGGGGAAGTGCTGAACGAGGTACATTACACACGTGAATACGTATGTATGTACATGTAAGTAAGGCCAAGAGATTTCGACAGGCGGAAACTACGCTCACTCACCCGTATATGGAAGTACAATGGGCGGCGGTCAGCACAAAGTTCTCGCTTATCAAGCTGCCACCGCACTTGTATTGGATTTGCCCTGTGTCCGCCTCGAAGCCTACTGCCGCCTGCGAAAACAGATTTGATGGTTCAGGTTCCAGGTTAAGCACCATCGCAGAGCCAGTTTATCAGCATCAGCTCGAGCTGGATCTTTACCATATGTGGGTATTCACCAGGCCTCGCCAGTATGCGCCCATCGAAGTCGGCGTCGTTGGCGTCGTCTGCTACGGCGGTGTCATTGGGAAAGATACGTTCCACATACTCGGAGTATTCTGTGGGGACAGAGACGCATTGGCGCAATGCATTGGCCGATTCGAGCAACAACTTGTCTCCGAGGCACTTACTCTGCTCACAGATGCGACGCCGTCGCCTGTTCTTCTTCTTTTTGAAGCCACCTGGAGGCGGTGGAAAGGGCTGACCAGGACTAGGCGGGGGCATGTGATGCTTGTGCTTGGGCTGGGGCAGATTCTCGACTCGATCGAAGTGGAACTCGCTTATGTGGTACCACATCTTATCCTCCAGCTCATTGGACCCGTTCGCGTCGGGGAACAATATGTCTCGTTCGATGGGAAAATAAATCGTGTCTCTGTTCGGAGGGGGTCCTTGGGGCCGCTGGGCATGGCAGCAGAGCACGAAAACTGATATCAGGGACAGCGCGGCGGCACGAAACATTCTCGAAACCTGCGAGCGCGGCGAATGTCAGAGGCAGACTAACGCCTCACTCGGTCAAAACAGTCCCAAGAAACCATAATCGCCCCACCTTATCAGCGTTGGAGGAGCCTTGGAATCATTAACAGTTTGAAATTTATTTACGGAAAACATTAAATGTTAATTCTTAAGCTGGAGGGATTAACAATGTGTGCAACACGGGGAGCGTGGACTTGGGTTGAGCCACCGATCTGCTCGTACTGAGCAATGATGGCTCGCTGGATGGCCTCCAGCTCTCGATCGTTGCTGTAACGCAGCACACTCACGGTGGGATCATTTCCAGCGGGTTGCGGTTGGGGTGCTGGAACAGGTTCAGGGGCAGGGGCGGCGTATCCCATGGCCAGGAGGGTAACGAACAGCAGCAGCTGAATGAGACATGCAAGGTGTCAATTAGGCAAAAAGAAGATTCCCTCTCTAGAACAATCGGAACTCACGCAAATCGTCTTCATGTTGGCGACAATCTTGAAGCAAACTAAACAGCGCGCCCTAGCCGGCACTCGCTTTTATAGTCAAAAACTCAGACGGCAAAACCTATCATCGTGATAATTTGCAGCAATTTGAACTTGAACAACTTTGGCCAAACACGTTTTCAATTTGATTTGCTTAAAATATATTTACATTTACCCCTCCTAGAGCTCTGATTTTCCGCAATCGCAGAAACCGACCCGTTTTTATCCAAAATTCGGTGTAGTGCTGCCGGCAGACGTTAGATCTGATGGCGAACACTTCATTTATGCATAAATTCGCCTGGTTTTGTTAAACTGGATTCAAATCTGGGTGAGAGCTTCGATCGTTATGGCAATCTCAAAACAAAAGCAGCAATTTCATTTTGTTATTATAAAATAGAACGCGTTCTTTCATCGATGGGGAAAGTGTCATACTACACCTCTATAAATATCTGAATAGTACGTGGATATGACTTGGATGTGGGTTATAAACCGTGTATTTGTTAAACCTTTGCACACAGAAAATTAAAATGGGACAGAAGTTTCCGACGCACAAAAGGAAGCATCTTCATTGAAAGATATTTAAATAATTTAATCAACTTTTTCATTGTAAAACATAAAACAACAACAAAAAATCACATCTGTTGACTGTCCACATTCAGTTGACCGCTACTGTATTTAAACTACATTTTTCGGAGATGTTCAAACTGGTGACAAAACAAAAACAAAAAGAAACAACAAAAATATCTCTAGTTGTAGACTAACATGTACATATCTATAGTTATAAATCTATTTTTACTAATGGGCAGTCCCGCCAAAAGGTCCAACAGTCCAAGAATCATGAAAAGTCAATAAAAACCGATTTCCATATAAATAAAAAAATAATTTCATTAGCTTTAATGCGAAACCCTATTAAAATTAGCAAAAGTTCACGCTTTCGGTATTTTTATAGTCTTGTTATCTTTTACTATTATCTCCTAGAAAAAAGATGATTCTTGATATATTCTTGATTTGGTAACGTCCGCCGACTTATAGCAAAAAAAAAGGGAAGGTTTTTTCATTAAATAACTTTGAAAATGAACACTTCATATTTCATATACATGCACAAACAATTTGTATACAGATAGACCTACCCAATTCGCAAAGTTTTGCTATTTTGTACTCCAACCTCGAAAACCACTTCTGTTTTTTGTAACGCAACTTCTGGTCATATTTTAGCTATATCTTTTAAACCGTACGCTCGACCATTTTTTTTTTTTTTGTGAATAAAGGCTTTTCCTATTACTATTTAACAAGGATAATATTTTTCCAAATTTTGTTTTTTTAATTATTTTTTTCAACATTTTGTCGAATCTAGCGTAACGCGTGACTACAAATAGATTTAAAAATTTTCTTTTTCGAACGATCCGGATTGCGATCCTTTCTCGCTCTATATACATACATACAAATGTACATATATGTACATGTATGTATACATAAATTGTTACGCTGTTTTTTAACGGATTGATTTTATATATTTATTTATTTATTAATTTTTAAGGGTGAGCACACAGATGTTGTTTATCTTTGGGGGTTTTGTTTTTTTTTTCCCCCAGGGGGGGGGCTTTTTCTTTTAAAAAAAAAAAAAATCCCAAAAAAAAAAAAAACGTTTCATGAACACAAAATACAAATTATGCCAGGCTAGTTGTTGGTCAGCGAGGGGAAGCGCACGCTTAAGGTTTCCGGCTTCTGCTCGTCGGCTATTGGGGTGATGATCGCCCCCTCATGCTGGTGGCCTATACTCATCCTACCAAAAATGAAGTAGCGTGCTACGACGAAAACTTAACCGGGAGATACTACCTATCCCTGAATACAAGAAAAAGCTAGGGTCTGTGCTGCGAAGAGTTTCGACTCCGTCTCTGGTGTTAATGAGACTGTCTCGCCCGCCCTACCTTGGCCATTCCAAGCCGCCTTCATTGAAAATGGAATGGCCCCTTCTGCCTAGGGACGCCTACATGGGGAGGGTGCTAGCTAAGGCAAATAAAAAAAGGAATTAAAACATTATAAAATATATTCTGAATTCTATAAAAATGAACTTACTAACATACTTAAACTACGATATGCACGAGAAATAAATAATAAAATGAACGCATATAAATAAATAAGAACAAAGGATGAATAAATATGAATAAATACGAATAAATGATCAAACCGCTGATCGTTGTTAGGACAATTTTCCCGATCTGCGACCATTGGCTTGCAAAAAGTGTTACGCGTAAACTTTGATGGCAGAGGATGGGCTAGCGCATGATTAATTATGTCCGCGAATAAATATATTTCTGCTGGTTTTGGTCTGTTGTTAAAAAAACGCAGCCTTATGTGGCCATAACAGCACTCACCCTTGTCAGGAATCCATCGACGAAAGCGCTCTCACCGACGTATTGCTTAACGGAGAGAGGGGAGAGAGAAAAAATATCGAGATGGAAGGAAAATATTCTAAGCGCGCACTCCCTGACCTCTCGCTCTCATCGCTTACTGCCAAAACACTCTAATCTTGCTGGGACACCAACCAAAACGTTAAAGCTTAAAACTATTTTTTTTCTTTTGAACTAAACGTTACAAAAATCACACAAAACAAAATTAATCACAAAAAAAAATGAAATTCTCTTGGGCATCTGGTATGCCTCTGGCCACCCGCCGTCCGGATCCACACGGGGGTCTCTCGCGATTCCTTTGCGGATTCCCTCGCTCCCAATAGCGCAGGGTCGCCGACGCAGCTGTCTCTCTGCAAGGTTCACGGGCACTAACTAGCCATCCGCTGAGCACTAGCTCTGCCTGCTAGAACTTCGGCTAATCTTCCCTCTTTCCCTTTCCCCCTACGCTGCTACTTGCGAGCGCTGCTGGTATTTGGCGTATAGGGAGGCACAAGGGAGACAAAAAAATGGGCTCGTCCGAGCTCTGCGCGTGTCAACTGCCGCCTATATGGGTGATGGAGCGGGACTCCTCTGCTGATCTTCTCCTGGACACGGGAGCGATCCTCCAATCCAGTGTCCAACTGAGGGCACCTCTTTGCGGCGTCGCCTGTGCCCAGCGACAGCTAACGAGCGCCAAGATCTGCACGAAGCGATGGAATTAGGCGTTGCCGCCCTCAAACTTTGACTATCCATGCTCACCAATTCAACGCCTCTTCGCCAAATAAATCTTTTCCTTCTGGACTTTTTCACCGTCACTGTGCACTTTACTTGTGCGTATACGCGTATTATAAAATTAAGGGAGTTTTTCCACTCCGCACAACTGCACTGACTGGGGGACCAAAAGCGAAAGACCGAGCTAGACGCTTCCGTTTAAGCGCCAACCTCATGGTCTCGAAAAGGTTAAAAGGGCCACTGAGTGAAAGGCCTGACATTTGCCCCTGTTACTCTCTTTTCCTCCGAAAATTCCTTGACCCGATCATCCAATCTGAGCCCTAGAGGGCGCCACCTGACCTTCCCCTGGCCGACAGAGAGCGCCACCCGCTAACACTCTAGATGCTGCTACAAGCGTTACAAAAACCCCCCGCCAAAGATCAGACTTGGGGGTCAAACTCCCAAGGATGACAACAAAGCAGCTTGAAGCAGCTGGCTTACTGCCGCATATCTTTCGCGTGGAACCGACCTACAAAACGACCCTGCAAATCTTCCAAATCATAGTAAGCCTGCCCTATCTTCTTCTTGACCCTAGCCTTCAGAAAGGCAGGACCCAATTTCGCACTGTAGCCTGAGGGAAAACTACTCTGCCTGAAATTCTTCCTAAAAACTTCCTGTCCAACATCGTAAGAAATGTCCCTTGATCGTAAATTATACTGCCTTTCATTTTTATGGTTCTGCTTTTTCATGACTTCTAGAGCCCTGCTCCGGACCAAGTCCAACGAATCCTCCCGAGAGAAAACTGCTGACTTATCATCCACCATACGCAGTGCTCTCAGAAGCTTATATGTGGCTCCTGAAGTGATGAAGTGCTGTCCAAACACCATGTAATACGGAGTGGTATTAAGACTGGCATGCACTGCTGAACGCAAAGCGCAACAGATGCTGCTGAGCTGCTCGTCCCAGTCCTTTTGATCCTCGCGTACGTACGATCGGATGGCAGCGATTACCGAGCGATTCACCCGCTCGGAAGCATTAGCCTGGGGTGAATACAGAGCTGTGAAAGTGTGTGCAACCCTATACTCTCGGAGAAGCTTTTGGAATGCCTCGGACTTAAACTGCGTGCCATTGTCAGACACCACTGTTTCCGGCACACCAAAAGCGTGAAAGAGATCTTGCTGCATATATTTTACCACCACATCCGCAGTCAACTTCTTTACCGCCTTTAGAAAAACATATTTGGAATAGTGATCCAAAACAATAAAAATGCCTATGTGACCACTTCTTGACCGGGGATATGGTCCGAGGAAATCCACGTACAACTTCTGGAAGAATCGCTGCGACTCGGGAGCAACCCCCATTGGCGGTCTCTGGATTGTGTTTGGAGCTTTGGTTGACTTGCAGCTATCACAAGCCTGAATGTGCTTCTTGACATCTGCAACTAACCCTGGCCAGTAGTAATACCGCCGTATCCTCTCCAGAGTTTTGTGTATGCCTCCATGGGAAGCCAAAGGATGGTCATGCGCATTTCGCAAAACTTCTCCCACTAACCCTTGCGGAACCCATAACTTCCAAATGAATACATCATGCAGCACCTCTCCCTTTGCATGATCTGACTTACGATACAGTAAATTGTCCACAATTTTTAGATCTGGCAACTTGTCGTTATTGGCCCTAACCCTTTCTACCATCTCTACATACTCTTCTGACTTAAATTCCGGCGATTCCAAGTCCACCAACAAACCATGGCTCGCATCCAAAGTCGCCAACTCCTCTTCATTTACCCGAGACAGAGCATCCGGCACCACATTGAGCTTGCCACTACGATGCTCGATCCTAAATGAGAAACTTTGCAGCTTCAACGCCCATCGAGCTAGCCGCGAATGCAAATCGGTTTGTGACATGAGCCACTTCAACGAGGCGTGATCCGTGATTACGGTGAACTCATGCCCCTCGATGTAAGCTCTGAACCTGTTTATACAAACTATG